ATCTTTGATTCCCTTCCAATTCAATCACAGACATTCTTTGATTTGGTTTTTTAGATTTACTTACGTTGGTTAATGTATGAATTTGGATTTTGACTTTGATATTGTATCTATTTATAATTACATTTGAATCCGGTTTGGTACGGTTAAGCATAAATTGTTTGGAAAAGAAAAAGGAAAACAAAAGAAAAGAAAATGTTTATTTCCTTTGTCGTGTCGGATCGAAAGATGAGGAGTGTGACTACGGTGTCGAAGTGCCGCGTCACAAAGTACGCAAGAAGTAGTTAATTATACGGTCTCGGAAACTTGAATCCCGCCATGTTTCTAGAAAGTCGAAAAGGATGCTCTCTGGCTGTATACTATAATAACCACATGCACATAATATCAGATGATATTATCCGACATTTGCTTAATAATGATCATATGCGTGCGTGAACGTGTCGTAGTTAATTTGTCAATTTGTCTTCTTATGTCTCACCACCGATGGTAAAGTAATGTTTTATTTCTATTATTGCTGAAATGATTTCTAAATTTCCATTGGTATTTGTGGACCAATGAGAATTGGATGCATGAGAGAAGAAATGCAATCATAGGATAATGACAAATACTCTGACTCATGCATGATACACATCCTCATTCTAATCTTTCCATACTTTATTTGGGACACTCTAAAGTCTAAACCTTCGAGTAAACACATAGTTCTAGTTGCCCGTATTAGAAAAGTATACATTAATACAACTTGATTCTACATAAAAAAAAATTATGTTTATTTTATTGTATGAAGTAATGAAAACTACTACAAACTTATTATTCTGTATCAAACAAAATTCATTTGATAAATAATAAAATCAAACGTGTATTTGTTGCGATAAGAACACCTTTTTTTCTCAAGAAAGAATAACTAAGACGATGTGACACATTTCGGTTTTTCATATCTTTTTAGTTACGGTATGTTTTGTTTGTTTGTTGATGACATTGATATGGTATTATATGGCTGCTCTTCCTTTCGGATTTTTTTTTTTCAGATAAGAGCTTAGAAATGTAACCAAAAGAATTTTGGCGAAAACAAGATGTAACCAAACTCCAAAAGAAAAATATGGGTTGCGATTGAGCCCAAATGAAAGAGGCCCAAATAGTCGAGCTAGAAGCTTAGCAAGAAGCTGAGGACGTGGTTAGTCCGCGAAAATGGCGTTTCTCTGTTCGTCTCTTCCAAGCTCATCAATTTATCATCATGCTCTATCGCCATCTTATTGAAAAAAGTATTTTTTTCTTAATTTTACACTTTTGTCTAAACAACTTACATATTGTGACAAAAGGAGTGATAGAATACTAGGCAAATAACACAACCAAAAACATATAACACAACGAGAAAGAGAGAGAGTCAATCAATTTTGTTACTCAAATGAGTGATTAATAATGTCAACTATAATCAATCAATTCCATATGATTATACGAATTGTGTAAATACTATGTAGGCAACAGAAACTACTACTGGACAGGAAGCTGCAGACCTTAAAGAGCTCAAAGAAAAAGTCGCACTCTTGGTAAGTCAATTTATCCACAGTTAACTTTTTATAGTTTGATATTGGTTTACATAATTACTGTAGTCTTGGTTACACCGTCCTTGCAGTTAACTTATGGCTGGCTTGCGGGTAGTGACGATGAACCAGTCAACGGGTGTCATATTTTATTAACTGCATGTCTTGCATATAATCATTATTGTAGGTTCCTAGCTGAATACAAATGTTTTACATGATACGGTACTAAAAATACCTTAGAGATCAACTGCCGGTAATATATTAGTTGATACGGTACTGAAATACGGTAAGATATTATAATTAGACTTTTTCCATTCTTGAAAAGGCGAAACGCATAAATCAATTACTGTATTTTCATCAAACAATTCAAAAAAGGGTTTTCTGCAAAAAAAACAGGAAATTAAATTAATTTTGTAAAATAAACCTTCAATTTTTTTCTGTGCAAGTCAATCTCACAAACTTTAAAATTATCCGCTAAACAAACATTGGGTATATTGGCTACGTGGCCGTTTCTGGACCTTCTAAAAAAGATAAACGCTGGGTTTTGAACGATTAAACGGGAGGCATTTCTGTTTTTCATGCCGTTTTTGAACAAAAGCAAAACACCTGAAAATAATGTTTCGGATTTCATTTGGGGAAAAACTAAAATGGTTTTGGGGGAAATCCTAAATTAGGGTTCTTGACGATTTTAGAATCCTGGGTAAATTGTTGAAGCTTGTTGATATTAGATAGAATTGGCGTTAGTGATCTTCACACAAAGATCGTCCAAGTGCAGTTCTGAACAGGTCCGTTCCGAGCAATTACACCTCCCCACCAAGTATGTTACTTTTCTCTGAAAGGGTCTTCCGTTGGTTATCTTCCTCAGATCTCCGTTTCTCTACCTCTCTCTCTCCCCCTTCGACGGTGCTACTTCTTCGTTTCCTTCTCTTTCTTATTGTTAACACGGATTTGAGTTAATCTGCTTCCGTTAGTTCTGATATCGTCTCTGATCTCTTGCTAATCTGACTTGCGACAAATGTTTTCTGTTTGATTCGATTTGGTAAAGCTTTGATATTTCCGACAAATGGTATCTGTTTTGCTAATTGGTTCTGTGCAGTTTCGTTTCGTTCATAACAATGAATAATTGAACAAAATTTGATTTGCAGATCTTTGCGCAATAGATCCTTAAAGTTGAATCCTTTATCGTCGCTTAAGTTTTGGACCCGTTACAGTCTCAGTATTGTCACTGAAGTATATTGGTTGATGTTGTTTTAGTCATCAGGATCCTCTGTTCTTTTTGGCTTTTGAGGTGAGGTTGGAAAGTCTGTTGGATTCGAGGTTGCTCCGGCTCCGTTCCGTCCGAGGGAAAACCGGAGACGAACGGGAAGGTGGAGCAAGGCAAAGGAGAGAATGTCTCCGTCAAGTTTGGCTCACACGGTGAGGCGCCAAAGAGAACCGAAGAGAAGACTAACAACAAGGTGCAGGGTGTACCAAAAGACGCAGCAGAACAGTGGCCTGCGGCGAAGCAGATCCGCTCTTTCTACTTTCTTAAGTACCGTCGCTTGAGGCGGCTGATAAAGAGCTTGCGAAGCAGATTCTTAAAGAGATCAGGCTGCTTGAAGGCATTGCTAATGCGGCTATGAGAGCCAAAATCAAAGATGATATCCAAGGTCAAGTCAAGGTAAGAGAGTCGTGGTCCTGATGCTCTGGCTTCTTGCGGTTATTATAGTCGTGTAGGAATTGTTTCATATGCGCTTGTTGTGATGTTTTTTTGCAGTTAATGGGTGCTGGTTTGGACGGAGTGAAGAAGGAGAGGCAAGCAATTTCAGCAAGGATTGGTCAGCTGAGCGAGAAGGTGAGAGCAACGAAAGATGAGATTTTGGTTCTGGAGAATGAGGTCAAGTCTGTGAGCGAGAAGAGGGACAAGGCTTATTCAAACATTCATGAGCTCAGGAAGCAACGTGATGAGACGGTACGATCACATACTTTTGAGCTTTGGAGATTGATTTGTGCAAACATTGATTTCTGTATATGTTTTTTCCATACAGAATTTTGGCCTTTACCAAGGCCGTAATGTGTTGAACAAAGCTAGAGACTTGGCTGCACAAAAGAACATAGCCGAGCTTGAGGCACTCCCTAAAGCCGAGCAGCAAGAAGAATTTCAGAGAATATTATGAGAAGAGAATCTCGGCCTCACTTGATGCTAGGCAGCTGAGCGGATGAGAAACCCCAAAGAGAAGCCTATACTTGCTCCAGAGGTTCCACCAGCAAAGGCAGCGCCTTCTGAAACCGAGGTTGTCCCTAAAGCTAAAGCTAAGGCAAATCAGCAGCCAAAGGAGGAACCAGTTTCTGCATGATAGTGTAACTCAGAAGACTGAGAAAGCTAAAGATACAGTGAAACTAAAGAAACTTGTGAATGATGAGGATCAAGTATATGGTCTTAGAAAGCCACGGAAAGAAGAGGTAGATGAAGCTACGGTGAAAGAGATGAGAAAGCAAGAGGAGATTGCTAAAGCCAAGCAAGATATGGAAAGGAAAAAGATGCAGGCGGAGTAAAATGCTGCTAAAGATGCTACAAGAGCTCAAAAAGGAAATTACCTTTTTTTTCTTTTTTTTTTGGTAGTAGTAGTACCTCAATGCTCTTTGCATTCTCTCTTTCCTATTCTAATACTTGTCCATCCTTTTGTGTGCTGCAGGAGCAAGAGAAGAAAGCAAGAAGAAATCCGGAGGCAACACAGAAGCGGAGGCCGTCTCTGAGGAAGGTCCAGAAGCTTCTGACGCTGAGAAGGAGGAGACTGAAGCTCCAGTGGAGGAGAAACCACAGAAGGAGAAAGTCTTCAAGGAGAAACCGATAAGGAACAGGATCCGCAGTAGAGGAGGAACCAGAAACGCTCCCAAGAGCGATCCTCAAGCGTAAGAAGGCCATTTCTTTCAACAGAGGTTATTAACATTTCTTTCACTTGTTTTCAAAATGCCTGATCCAACATATTATTGCCTTTATCACATGGGTTCTGTGGATAAAAAATGTTAGAAGCTTTTAGAGTGGGCATTGTTTGTTATACATTGTTTTTCTTTTCTTTTCCAGGGAGCTGACCACAAAGAGTTGTCATCAATGCTTCACAAAGCGTTGGAAGGCGTAATAATGGTGGCCGTGGACTCCGACCTCGATTGGACCCCCCGATGGCCGTGGCTTCCACCAATGCCGACCTGCATGTAAAACCCTAACTCCCTTTCGGAAGACTTCAAATATCTGTGAACGAATTCAGTCACTAGTTGATATGAATCCAGTGAAAGGTCTCTTTGTGAGACTAACTCAGAGCTGGTTTTCTTCTTTCTTTACTTTTTTTTTCAGTACTTCAAACCGGTGCTGTGAGCTCTGCTTCTGGTTCTGCTTATGCTGAGTTTCGGAACACGAAAGTCATTGTTTCAGTGTGAGTATTAGATAACACTTATCCGCAGTGTCTGCTTTCAGGATTTTGCATGAACATTTCTTCTCTGTAAGCCTAATCCTGTAATGTGTTTTTGGTCTCTTCTGTTAAATTTTTTTAGATTTGGGCCAAGGGAGACTAAGAAAGCAATGTGTTAAAGTGATGTTGGTTGATTGAATTGCGGTGTTACCTATACAACTGTTGCTTCCCCATCTGCTGCGCAGGTATGAGTTTTTATCTTCCTTTTGTAACTTTAGAGTTGGAAAAAATTCATCAATTTAGTTATACATGTACATAGTTGTTTTTTCCAGGGTGCTGATAACAACGAGTTCTCATCGATGCTTCACAAAGCTTTGGAAGGTGTGATAATGATGGAGACGTTTCCAAAGACAACCGTTGATGTTTTTGCATTGGTGCTTGAATCTGGAGGCAGTAAGTCTCATGACTCTCTCATACATTCTAAATAATATGATAACCTTGTGTGGGGATGGTTCTGTAAACATTGGTGCTATTTATTTTAACTGAGAAGGAAGACTGTATTGTTATTATTTTAAGATTTGTTGGTTAAGTTTTGTCCCATTTTGACTTTCTGGAATGGTGTTTGTAATGCAGGTGACCTCCCCGTTGTGATATCATGTGCTAGTCTTGCTCTAGCAGATGCCGGAATTATGACGTATGACCTCATCACAGCTGTTTCAGTGGTATGTGTGTGTGTTACAACAACTGCTGCACCAATTCTTAAGTTTTAATGTAAACAGGACTATGCATGGGTGAGGAGAGGGATGATCTTCCCTTTTGTGGATTACGTTGCCAGGTGGGTCTCTTAAATTATCAAAAGAAAAATGTGTTCCATGTGGATTAGTGCTTTACAGCTACTTATTCAGGTTCCAGGAACAGTCTGAGCTGCAAGGGTGCAGCCCTGGGGATTTTCAGAAGGCACTTGAAGAAGCATTCACTGAGAAGTTGATGCATGATATTCACATGGCTGTTGGTAACTCGACTTTTAACGATTCTTTCTACAGATGGATTCAAGAAACCGCGGCCTCAAATCGGGATCTTACTAACAATGCTCCAAGCCAGGCAAGTGTCTCTGCCTGTGATGCAATTTTTTTGCAACATGTTCGTTATAGGATTTTGTTCTAGATCTCCAAACAACTCAATGCTGCTAAGATTTTACTTCCATGCCCTTGGTCCATATTTTTGTAAATTTCTTCCAGTTTGAGCAGTGTATCTAATTGACTTTATGCTTTGCAGGAGTTAATGAGATACAGAAATCCCTTAGCCTGTGTAGGATGTGGAACGGTCATTTCTTTTTGAGATGGCAAAAAAGATGAAAGCTCTGATTCCTGGAGATCAGTTGTTGTGTAAACCATGTTCAAGGGTATGTAGGGTCCCTTGTTCTGTGATAATGCTTGGTATAGTTTTCATTGATCGAGAAATGGTTGCATGAGAGTAAGCCTACGTTGGTTGTTGTTGCAGTTGACAAACTCTAAACACAATTGTGGTATATGCAAGAAGCTAAGGAACCCTGTGGGCAGTCAAACCTCGGTACGAAAACAATTAGACTCTATAGGGCTATAGCCTCAGGTTTTGGTTGTTTTTTTTGTATTTTGATTAATATCCGGGTAATGAATTAGGTGCGCTGTGATAGTTGTAAAGTATGGGTACACGCAGAGTGTGACCATATATCAGATAAGGATTTGAAGGTATGTTAATTTTGGAGTTCATTAAGGTTATCCTATACTCATCTGCTTGCACGTGTTGAGATCAAGTTCGTTTGATGATCTGAAGGGCTTGGAGGGAACAGATTACGATTGTCCTACTTGCAGAGCTAAATTTAACTTTGAGTTATCACATTCAGGAGAACCAGACTCAAAGTCAAAGTAGGACGCTTTTCCGTAACTTTGATTATTGTTTTCACAACAACTGTATTTTGATTGCCAAATGTATAAATTTGGGGATTTTCTGGTACAGACTTGGGAAAGGCGATGATCGGGTGGTTCTTCCTGACAAGGTTACGGTTGTATGCTGTGGAGTAGAAGGAGTATATTTCGCGAGTGACCATTTGTAAGCAGATACCTTTTTACCGTTTCCTTGCACAAGCAAGAAACTTTGGAGACTACCTTCCCTAGGTTTTCAGGTTTCTTTGCTGAATGATCTGCTGTTGTTTAACTACAGAGTCGTATGTAAGTGTGGCTCGTGTGGACCTCGAAAGAAACAATTAAGTGAATGGGAAAGGCATACTGGATCAAAGTCAAAAAACTGGAAGACCAGTGTGAAAGTCAAAAGCTCGAAGCTGCCACTAGAAGAATGGGTTTGTACAATAACTCTTCTTGTTTCTTTCAAAGATGTTGATTTTCTAAAAAGTAATCTGACATATTTATTTGCCGGACCTTTCCCTTACTCTACAGATGTTGAATTTAGCAGAGTTACATGCAAATGCTACAGAATCTAAAGTTCCTAAACGACCTTCCATAAAGCAGAGAAAGCAGAAGTTGCTTGCTTTTCTGTCAGGTATAATAGGAAATGGAATCCCGTAACATGTTGCAAAGTTTCAAGTGCCTGTGTAATGCTTTTGTTGGCTTTTCATTTTGTTGTTGGCAGAGCCATATGAGCCGGTCAATGCAAAGTGGACAACAGAACGATGTGCAGTTTGCAGATGGGTAGAAGATTGGGACTACAACAAGATTGTTATCTGCAACAGGTGCTGTTTATAATCTTGTTTTTGCTCGTCTTTTCTTAAAATCATGATTTCATCCAACTGAATAAGCCACGCGGATGCTAAATTTGACTTGCCAGTAAACACTTTTTTTTTCCGTTCAATATTTGGCTCACACGGACTCTGTAAGATAGGATTTTCTTGCTAGTTTCTGTGGATAAGATATATTAGCCAGAGCTTTCCGTTAACTTTTATGTCATCATGGGGAGCCTTTGGGAAGCAAAAGATGGTTGTTTTCTGTGGAATATATAATGGCGAGTTGTGAAGAATGATCCAATATCATTGTTTATTAATGTTTGTTCTTTCGCTTTCTTCCCCAGATGCCAAATAGCAGTGCATCAGGAATGCTATGGCGCTAGACATGTTCATGATTTCACCTCATGGGTCTGTAAAGCATGTGAGAAAACCCGGTATTAAGCGGGACTGCTGCCTCTGCCCTGTAAAAGGTACGCCTTTTCATTTTGTGGCGCCTGAATATTTCGTGTCAACCTATATTTTACACGGTCGTACTACTAGTGTAAAGCTTTTTCCGAAAGTAATTGCTTTTCCTGATGGCACTTTTGCATATTTCCTTCAAAGATGGTTTCATAAAGCATACTACGTTATCTGTTATCTGTTTCCCTTACAAGATATAGGCATTATCTAACATATGGCATTGCTGCCTACTGACTATATTCTTGTCCCGGTACTGTTCTGACTGATAATAGGAGGTGCATTGAAGCCAACTGATGTGGAAACAGTGTGGGTTCATGTTACATGTGCTTGGTTTCAGCCTGAAATGTGTTTTGCAAGTGATGGAAAAATGGAACCAGCTGTTGGGATATTGAGTATTCCATCAAGTAATTTTGTGAAGGTATATATTAATGTAATCTATTGTGTTCATTTTGGTTGGCACTCGAGAGTACTCTTTTCCAAACTGGTTGGTGAATTCCACTGTCAGCAGAGGGCTAATATAGTTTTCATTATTTCTTTGGCAAATTTCAGATTTTTCTAAACTAATTTTTAAGAAAAATTTGGTTTTGATGGATTCCAGATATGTGTAATATGCAAACAAATACACGGCTCGTGCACTCAGTGTTGCAAGTGTTCAACGTATTACCACGCCATGTGTGCCTCCCGAGCTGGTTGTAGAATGGAGGTATGCTTAGTGTTCCTTCATTTCAGTTTTATCTTGCCCTGCATATGAACAATATAAAACCAAATTGCTGTATACGTTTTGTAGTGGAACTGGTTTTCGATAGACAATGTGTTTTGCCTCTTCAATTTTATATTAACTTGACCGTTCTGCTTTCCTTTGCAATCTGTCATATACTCCATTTTTATATTTCCATGCGTTATGTATGCAGTTGCACTGCTTGGAGAAAAATGGTCGGCAGAATTCAAAGATGGTGTCCTATTGTTCCTATCACAGGCAACATTTCGCAATATTCTGCCTAAAGAAGCTTTGTATTATGATGAGCTCTGGTTATAAATGGTGTTTTCACTATTTTTGTTTTTGGTTTGTAGGGCTCCGAACCCAGATACTGGTCTTAGTTATACAAACTCCTTCAGGGGTCTTCTCTGCAAAGAAGTCTTGTCCAAAACAAGAAGAAAGGTGGTTCTCGCCTTATTTCATTAATCAGAGAAGACAACGAAGAGTCAAACATGTATGGCCAAACATGTATATTTCTCATGAATCATAAATAGGTATAGATGTACAAAACCAGTCTCGTAATCTAGTTTATCGAAAATAAGATATGGATAATTTGATAAATCACGAGGAGAGAGGTAAAGTGTTACAAGCAATGGATGGTTGCAGCTACAAGGCAGCAGCTGGAGGGTCATTGTCGAATACTCTAGTTGCTTTGGCAAGATTAGGTTGCCAATCAATCAGTGACAGGCCTTTGAATGTGGCCATGGCAGGCAGTATTGCTGGTGACCCTCTTGGTAGCTTTTATAGGTACAAAACTGTATAATCTTCTCCTTTCATGCATCATTTTTTGTTGCCGTTCCCATCACTATTGTATCTTGATTCAGAGGTTTAGCTTTTATGATTCATCTTTGTACATGGTTTGGTTTGATTTACTCACAATGGCAGTCCATGACTCCATGTTATGTTTGTATAGGACTAAACTACGACGAGCAAATGTAAATTTCCTTTCTGCTTACTCCTGATGCTCAACGTACTATGCTTGCATATCAGGTAGGATTTCTGAAATCAGCAAATATTTCCTCATGAGTTAGTGGTTAGAGGCTAATATGCTGAAGCAAGTCGTAGAGATGTGATCTCAGAATATTTTTGTCAGTTTGGCTGAAACGTTTTCAGGGAACATCTTCTGTCGTTAATTATGATTCTTGTTTGGCTAGTTTGATATCAAAGACAAATGTCTTTGTTGTGGAAGGCTACTTGGTTGAGCTTCCTGATACTAGAAGGACCATTACAAAAGCCCACAGAAATGGAGCACTTGTTGCTGTGACTGCACCAGATGTTTCTTGCATTGAGAGGCATTATGATGATTTCTGGTGAGTTTTTGCTCCATTTGCTTAAATCCATTCTTGCGTCTATCTGCTTTTTAGTCAGTTACTACTTGTTTACAATGTATCAAGCGGAGTGTTCTTAAGAAGAGATTGATCAGCTTTTGTATCTTTGATGCTTCAACCAGAATCTCTCTTATCCTGAAGCATTCAAAACTTGAATCGCTTGCTTGTGTCAATCTTGTTGTCTCCATATGTTTGTTTCTTTGGGAGAAAAGGAGAATGCGAATATATATGTGTTTACTCATTTGGTTTTGTGTTGATTCAGGGACATTGTGGGCAACTATGCGGATATTATCTTTGCCAACAGCGATGAAGCAAGAGAGTTCGTGACGCTGTTGAGCTGGCTCGGTCACACGCCTTCCGTCTCAACAGTTCTGGTGTTCGAACCGATGTTGGGTCTTGAATCTTTCTCTAGCTTTTTGATTCATTCTTTGTTTTCATGTAGTAGTGCTTTTGCAGTTGACTTGTACTCTCTTTTCCATTTAGTGGAAATATTTGTATGCAACATTTTAGTATATAGTCTCTTGTCACTATATAACACTAACCGGAATCATGCTACATTTCAATGTTGTAATGTTGTTATGTTGCTATTCAATGTTGTAAAATGCTATTATTCGTTGTTTTGAACCTGAGTCCTTCTTTCAAGATATTAATCTTATAATACGAGACTAAATTCACGATCAGGTGTTTGACAATCGTGAATAAGATTCAGGTTTGGATTGGACCCCAAAATAATCTATCAACTCAAAAGATGTGACAAAATTCCATATAATTGGTTATATAAAGAGAGCTAACCGAATTCCCCACATTTCATGACCCAAATTTAAAAAAGAAAAGTACTTAATTCGTCGACTGTAATTTCTGCTCGAGAAATAAACAAAAAAGAAATCCGCATTTACCTTTTACTGAGAGAATGAGACAAATTTACTCAGTAAATCAATAGTCAAACGTGTCGCAGACCCGACGACCAAATTAGTCGGCCTTCTCCTCGTCCTGCACAACCAACCCAACCACAGCATTCGCAACCGGAGCCACCACCGCCTCTATCTCTTCCTCCGCCACCACCGCCTCTATCTCTTCCTCCGCCACCACCGCCTCGGGAACCTCTTCCGCAACCGCCACCACCACGGGAACCTCTTCCGCAACCGCCACCACCACGGGAACCTCTTCCGCAACCGCCACCACCACGGGAACCTCGGCTTCAGCCCCTTCCTCCGGCGGACCCTCCTCTTCAGCCCAATCCTCAGGCGGACCCTCCTCTTCAGCCCAATCCTCAGGCGGAACATCGTCCGGCTCTTCGCCCTCGTCATCATCCTCCTCCTTTCACATTCGATTATGCATTAAATCATCATACAGAGAAAAAAAAAAAATCAAAAAATCAAAAAAATCCGATCACATCTAAGAAGGATCATTACCTGCGGCAATCCGAATGCCAGCTTCATCGTGTTTTTCCTCTCCACCCACTCCTGATGCTGGGAGTTGAACACGTCCAACAGAAGTTCCCGTTGCTCTTCACCCACTCTGCTGAAAACATCGCCGAGATTCCTCGCTTCACGTCTCAGGCGTCTCGCCTTCTCAGCTACAATCTTCAGATCCTCATTCTTCATTTTTCGAGAACTTCTTTTTTTTGCTCTGTGTTTACTGGGTTTACAAATGTTCTCTTCTGTTTCTCTCTCCTCTCTCTCTGCACAGGTGATGAAGTGATGATGATGAACCGACTCTGGGCCTTTTGGGCTCCCAAAGAAACAAAAAATGAATTAAAAAAGGCCCACTTTATTTTCAAATCAAAAGGCCCAATTAATACTGAATTATGAATTACTAGGCCCGCGTATACGCGGGTATATTTTAAGATTTTATAATAAAAGCATGGAAAATATTAAACAAAATTTGATCATTTTTAAACGTAAACAAAATAATATTGAAAACCCGATAAAAATATTTAAATAAAATAAAATTGGTAATACTTTTACATTTTTATTATAATTGATTTTTCTTTTGAATTTATGATATGACAAAATGAATTAATTTGTTTTAATATTATTTTTATCCAATACATAAACACTTACACATGTCTAAATCTGATCAACTGATTAATTAATCAAACTTTTATTATTCCATTCAAGAGATTTTAATTGATGAAATCTTTATTTCAATTTTTTTTACCTAACAAAAATTGAAAATCAAACTATTTAAAATTAGAATATCGATTATAATTTTTTAATTTTAGTTAATTGCTTGAATATTATTTTGTTAGTTTTCTATTTATATTTTTTCTTTCTCAATTTTTTTTTGCCTCATACCATTATAAATAATATATATTGATATTTTTCCTTTTCGAAATGCATTTTTTTCCTTTTCTTAATAGATGTAACAAAAGAATTTAAATTATTTGTTTTCTGTTTTTTATTACTTTTAATGGATTTATTATTTTTTCATTTTAATTATTTTTATCTGATTTTCTAATTTTTATTTAGTCTTATACATATTAATTTTTTTTTTAATTCTATGACACATGTTACGATCTTCATACTTTCATAATTTTTTTTTCTAAAACAAATGTCACAATTTTGTGAGTTATAAAAATCATATGTATCGCAAAACTGTCAAAAACATGATTTTTAAATTGGAGAAATAGAATCAAAGGGATCTGATGAATTTATGATTGAGAAACTTTGACTCTCTTTTATAGGGATTCAAGTAACCTATTCAGTTATATGAAATTTAGTTTACATAACATTATTTATTTCATTATACAAATAGATTTTATTTATTACATTATTTTGATTTTATTATTTGTTTGGATAATATTAATTTGATTACATAACATTATACAAATAGGATTTTATTTATTACATTATTTTGATTTTATTATTTGTTTGGATAATATTAATTTGATGAATGGAAAACCTTTCTCTATTAGGATATGACAAATATATTTTTATTTCTTTTAACTGTAATGGATTAATTTTTTTTAAAATTCCTTTATCTAAAAGCATCCAACTTTATATAATAAAAAATTTGATGAATGGGAAACCTTTTTCTGTTTGGATATGGCAAATATTATTTTTTCCTTTTTGATATAATAGATTAAATTAAATTTCGTTTTTTTTAATTAACATTTATCTGGAATTTTTTTTTTAAGTTCTCTTTTTTTCTAAGACACGTGTCACGATCTTAACGGACATAAACTTAAAAGTGACACATGTCGCGATCCTGAATTTTATAAAAATCCTACGTGTCGCAACCACGTCGTGCGCATCCAGCTTTATATAATAAGATGCTACCACCCAAAATTTTATGTATAGAAAAAAAAGAAAAAGAGAAAAATAAATAATGCTCCTCCGTATTTACCTTTTCCTTTTGCAGATAATTTTACTTTTAACTAAAAGAAAAGCTTAAGACTCCTATACGTGTTTGAAGAAGGAAATATATCTTATTTTAATATTTTTCCTACTAATATTAAAGTTAAACACAGAATGAAGAAGATGGAGAAATCCTGAGCTCCTCTCTCTCACAGATAAAAAAAAAAAAAAAAGACGAGCTTTGAGTTTGGAAGATGGAGAAATCTCTCTCTCTCTCTCTGCTTTGGGTTTGGATGATGTCGAATTCAGCGGCCGCCGAAGAGCCACCGCATAAAAGGAGGAAGATGTCTCCGTGTCCTTCATCTTCCCTGCCAGATGACCTGGTTCTGAGCTGGCTGGCTCGAGTGTCGAAATCGGATCACGCGGCCTTGTCTCTCGTCTCCAAGAGCCATCGCGCTCTAGTGGCTTCTCCTGATCTCCACAGGATGAGGTCACTATTGGGTTGCGCCGAGAATTGGCTGTATGTATGTTTGGCAACCCCTCCCGATCCAACCCCACGCTGGTTCATCCTCCACCGTGGTAAATCCGTGGATCGGCTTCTGCGCCCGATCGCTTCGTTACGCTTTCAGCCTCCGGAAGCATCCTCCGTGGTGGCGGTCGACTGGGGAATCTATGTAATCGGTGGACGTGTAAAGGGGAAGCTCTCTCGGGGAGTCCACCTCCTGGATTGCCGGACTCACAGGTGGCGGCGAGCCCCTTCCATGGGAATAGCTCGAGCTGCCGCGGCGGCCGGAGTCGTAGGTGGGAAGATTTACGTGTTTGGAGGCTGCCGGGACTTTGATTCCTCAAACTGGGCAGAGGTATTCGACCCAAAGACCCAAACTTGGGATTCTTTGCCGGCGATACCGGATCCGACGGTACGCTGTCAGTATATGACAGGCAGTGTGGTCGTGGAGGAGAAGATGTACGCAATGTATGGAGTGGATGATAGCTTCTACTACTCGCCGAGGGAAAGTAAATGGGGAAGAGGGAATATTCCTCCACGGACGAGAAACAGAAGGGATTGGTGTTTCATTGATAAGGTGATCTACTGTATTGACAACAGAGGACACCTGTGTTGGTGTGAGCCAGTGCAGTTGGAGAGCTCTGATCCAGAGGGCATGTATTGGAGGGAGGTGAAGGGTTTGGGCTCTCTGAATGAGAGTCTCTCTCGCTCCAGGCTGGTCCACTTTGATAGCCAGTTTGAGGCTATATGTGAGACTGGTGACCAAAACCTTGTTGATTTACTTCCCGGAGCCAGGCTCAGCAACTTTGGTGGCAACCTTGTGCTCTTCTGGGACGTGGTCGAGGGGGATGATCATCACCTTGGGGTCTGGTGTGCTGAGATCTCCTTGGAGAGACGACCCCAAGGACCCGAGATTTGGGGCAATATCGAGTGGTCTAACGCTGTCATGACCGTCGATCGCCACAAGGTTTTGCATTCTGTTTCTGTCACCCTTTGAGCTCGCCTTCATCCTTGTTTAACTATTTACGAATCCTGTTTTATTATCATCTTAAATCCTGTTGAACAATGTAAACTTACTTTATTCACCCACAAATAAAATGCTTCTTTTGAGTTAGAGTTTGAAATTTAACATTGGACACCTCTATACTACTATACCTAGCTGTGAATCGGACAAGTTGATGAGTACCTGATGGTTGCTCTCTCTCTCTCTCCCCCTCCAGATGGAATGGAGATTGGCTTGGAAAGAATAACGAATCAGAAACAGAGGAGTTGCAGGCAGACTCGATCCTGACATGAGAGCCACAATGTCACCTGTCTCCCGTCAGTAACCTGTCTTCTTCTGTTCTAAATTCGTTTCTGAATCTTAATGATGGTTAGTTTAGTTCTGCTGAGGTGGGAACTCATGTCTCAGCTTTCTTCACTTTCATTACTTCATTGAAAACAAAGTATACCAGAAAGAGCAAAACATGAGAATCTCAGAGATGAATAATATGTAAATGATCGAACTCAGCATAACACTTATCCGCAGTGCTGTGAGCTCTGCTTCTGGTTCTGCTTATCCGCAATGTCTGGTTTCAGGATTTACATGCAACTTCTCTTCTCTTTCAGCTATTATTGTTCTGTGTGTTTGGATCGTTGTGGCTCAAATTTTTAGTTTTGGGACAAGGCAGAGTAAGAAAGCGATGAGTTATTATTGTGATGTTGGTAGATTGAACTGCCTTGTTAGCTATACAACTTTCGCTAGTTTTACACCGGGTTCGAAGAAAGATTCGTTTATTTGTTTGTTTCCATCAAATTAGTTATACATTGTTGTTGTTTTCTTTTTTTCCCAGGGACCTGATCACAAAGAGTTGTCATCAATGCTTCACAAAGCTTTGGAAGGCGTAATAATGATGGAGACGTTTCCAAAGACAACTGCTGATGTTTTTGACTTTTTGCATTGGTGCTTGAATCTGGAGGCAGTAAGTCTCATCTTGACTCTCGTACGTTCTCAATCATATGATAACCTTGTGGGGATGGTTCTTGTAAACATTGGTTCTGAAAGTAACACATACATTGACATAAATAAGAGCACTGTCATAGTTTGAGACATGTAAAACGTACAGTTGCCTCTTCTATATTTTGAAACACTGACTGAGAAATGATTCCTGCCATTTTTTTTCAAGTCTTCCATAGGCAGAAGCCTTATGATTGATCCACTTACAGAAGATGGAGGCTGTGAAGATGGAAGCTTTATGGTGACGTGCATGCCATGTCGGCATGAAATCACTCATCCAACCATCACTGGTGAATGGACGAAACCTAATATCAATGAGGTATGCCTCTGAATAAATGAGAGACAAAATGCGTGGGTTTTTACCTTTTAATTAGGAATCGAAGATATAATTAGATTGAGATCTGACCCAAAAGTTTTTTCCATTTTGTTAACAAAAAATCCATCTGGCAGAGAAAAGTTGTTACTCATCAACCATTGGTTATCTTCCTGAGATCTCCATTTCTCTACCTCTCTCCCCCTTTCACGGTATCCCTTCGTTTCCTTCTCTTTCTTATTGTTAACACGGATTTGAGTTAATCTGCTTCCGTTAGTTCTGATATCGTCTCTGATCTCTTGCTAATCTTACTTGCGACAAATGTTTTCTGTTTGATTCGATTCCGAGTTTCGTTCTTAACAATGAATAAATTGAACAAAATTTGATTTGCAGATCTTTGCGCAATAGATCCTTAAAGTTGAATCCTTTATCGTCGCTTAAGTTTTGGATCCGTGACAATCTCAATATTGCCACTGATGTGTGTATTGGTTGATGTTGTTTTAGTTATCAGGATCCTCTGCTTTTTTTTGGGCTTTTGAGGTTGGAAAGTCTGTTGGATTCGAGGTTGCTCCGGCTCCGTTCCTTTCCGTTACGTTCGAGGGAAAACTGGAGACGAACGGGAAGGTGGAGCAAGGCAAAGGAGATAATGTCTCCGTCAAGTTTGGCTCACACGGTGAGGCGCCAAAGAAAACCGAAGAGAAGACTAACAAGAATGTGTTGATCTCTGATGTACCAAAAGACGCAGCAGAGGAATGGCCTGCGGCGAAGCAGATCCACTCTTTCTACTTTGTTAAAAACCGTCATTACGAGGACCCCAAGATCAAAGCCAAGCTTGAGGCGGCTGATAAAGAGCTTGAGAAGCTGAATTGAAGGCTAAGAGGGTAAGGATTTGGAGCTTAGAATTAGTTATTTCATTCTTTCATAGATTCACAGAAAATGGAGATGTGATTATGGTCTGTTTGTTTCATGATTGCTCATTGATGTGATAGTGACATTTGTACTTTACCTTTGTGATAATGTAGAACTGGTTTGATGGAGACTCCTCGGAGCAAACCATCTCCACCACCACCATCAAGAGTGAGTAAACCAACCGGGACTAAATCCGACGGCAGCTCACCGTCCCCGGTGCACGGCACTCGTCTCTCACTAGACCGTTCCCCACAAAGTGTTAACTCCAAGCCTTCTCCTGATCGCCGGACCGCAAGAGTCCCTACTCCGCCGGAGGCAAGTAGTAAAAACAAACTCCATCCATTTGATGATAATCTCTTGTTTTATTCATCATCATTTTGTTTTCCTTTTTGGCATTTCAGAAATCCAACAGCGATGAAGCAAGAGAGTTCGTGACGCTGTTGAGCTGGCTCGGTCACACGCCTTCCGTCTCAACAGTTCTGGTGTTCGAACCGATGTTGGGTCTTGAATCTTTCTCTAGCTTTTTGATTCATTCTTTGTTTTCATGTAGTAGTGCTTTTGCAGTTGACTTGTACTCTCTTTTCCATTTAGTGGAAATATTTGTATGCAACATTTTAGTATATAGTCTCTTGTCACGATATAACTTTTGATATTGTTTCAGTCTAAAAATAACTTTTTAAGTCTACAAGACTTCACATTTTTTTTTATTGGGTCAAAATGATATCCCGTATATCATCATTCTTTTGGGAAATGAACTCACCGGTTACTGCTGAAACACTTTAAGATTTTGGAAAATTTCGGCATTTTTTTACATGCACACATCCATCATTTTGAAGCATACGACATTTTTGTTTTTCCAATATTTTTTATCTTTCTTTTTGACAGTGTTAGTGTCGTAAACTTCAAAAAAAAATCAAGCACTCAAGTTATTTTAACTTTAATTTATATACAAGTGGTCTCAAGTGCAAACGATATTAAAATGGTATAGGGAGATTGTGCTTCTTTTGTCATAAAAGTCTACTTGTTCTCTCATTCAGATCACAAGTTGGAGGTGGTGTTGAATGAGGCTACTTAGGTCATTTCAGCTTACGTCTCAAGTTGAAGTGAGCATGTATTCATGTATGATGCGAAGAATCTAATCCGCATGACTTGTTGTAAGAAATCAGAAAGCGAGAAGACGTGTGTCCCTGCAAATTGGACAGTTGTACCCTCAGGCTTTCTAACGTCCAGAGAAGACTTCCCACGTTTTCAACACCACCTAACAACTGTTTCTTTCTTCTCCACCTCTTCCCATTTTTGTCTTCATTGTCTCCATTTTTTTGTTGTCTTCTTGTTAAGATCCGTTCATTACCAAAACAAATTACCGCAACAGTATTAGTGAATTACTAAGTAGTAAATACTCCCAATATGTACTAAACGTTTCCCAATATTTTATAAAAAAAATTAAAGATAATTGATAAACATCAAACGATCCAAACAATATGAGAAAAAAATAGATTTCTTATTATTGTAGTTCCCAACAAACTAGTTAGATAAGTTTCAAAAGAGAAAGAAAAAAAGACAAACTAGTGGATTTAGCTGGTTTTTTTTTTCTGGGAACAAATTTTGCTGAAATTATTCTACACTAGTTAATTAGATTCTATCGAATATTTTACCCACAGATTTAACATCGAACACCCACGTTATACTCGCTCCGCAATAATCTTTCTAACTTTACAATCTCTTTAGCCGCATGGCCCGTGATCATTTACCTCTAAATTGGATCAAAAATTTCTAAAGCTATAAGTCAAAGTTATATGAGAAATTTTCCAAACAGATAAAAACAGTACGAACCTAAAAATAATCTTTGCTCTGCCCCTTTTTCAAAAGAAATTCAACAAATTTGTCATTAATAGCCCCCTTTAAATATTAATGTTGAAAGAAATCATATAAACAAAATTGCAAATAAATTGACAGATTTGACCAAACAAGTAGGCAAGTAGGAATTGCCCCAATCAAGGTCTTCACACTGGGTAGATACGAGAGTAAATATTTTACCTGATTAGTAAAAAATACATCTGATTTTAATGAGAGGAGAGAGAGACAAAAAGCGTGGGTTTTTATTAGAAAATCGAAGATATAATTAGATTGAGATCTGACCCAAAAGTTTTCCATTTTGCTAACAAAAAAATCCATCGGCAGAGAAAAGTTTTATTAGCGACCCTTTTATTTCTCTAAAAGGGTCTTCCGTTGGTTATCTTCCTCAGATCTCCATTTCTCCATCTCTCTCTCCCTTTCACGGTATCCCCTTCCTCTCCTTCCTTCTCTTTCTTATGATTGATGATTTTTTGTATCGATAACTCCGATTTGACTTAATCTGCTTCCGTTACTTCTGATATATATATTTCTCTTCTTATGAATCATCATCGATCGTCTCTGATCTCTTGCTAATTTGACTTTCCGACAAATGTTTCCTGTTTGATCCGATTTGGTAACGCTTTGATATTTCCGACAAATGGTTTCCGGTTCTGTGCATTCGTAATGAACAATTGAACAAAATTTGATTTGTAGATCTTTGCGAAATAGATCCTTTATCGTAGTTTAAGTTGTGGATCCGTTACAATCTCAAATATTGTCACTGATGTATTGATTGATATTGTTTTGGTTATTCAGGATCCTCTGTTTTTTTTTTGGCTTTTTGAGAGAAAATGGGCGTTGAGGTTGCAAAGTCTGGTGGGTTTGAGGTAGCTCCGGCTCCGTTCGAGGGAAAACCGGAGACGAACGGGAAGGTGGAGCAAGGAGGCAAAGGAGAGAAAGTCTCCATCAAGTTCGGCTCACACGATGAGGCGCCAAAGAAAGCCGCCGAAGAGAAGACCAACAAGAACGTGTTGATCTCTGATGTACCAAAAGACGCAGCAGAGGAATGGCCTGCGGCGAAGCAGATCCACTCTTTCTACTTTGTTAAAAACCGTCATTACGAGGACCCCAAGATCAAAGCCAAGCTTGAGGCGGCTGATAAAGAGCTTGAGAAGCTGAACAAGGCTCGTGGTGCGGTCTTGGACGAATTGAAGGCTAAGAGGGTAAGGATTTGGAACTTTGAATTAGTTATTCTTTCTTGTGAAAAATGTGGTGGTTACAAGAATGTGATTTTTTTTGGGTGTTGTGTAGGCTGAGAGGTCAGAGTTGTTTGATCTGTTGGACCCGTTGAAGTCAGAGCGTAAAGGATTCAACACGATGTTTGATGAGAAAAGAAAGGAAATGGAACCGTTGCAGCAAGCTCTGGGGAAGCTAAGGAGCAATGATGGTGGGAGTGCTCGTGGACCAGCTATCTGTTCGTCTGAGGAAGAGCTGAACCAGATGGTGACAATCTATATAACTCTTGAGACCTTGTTGTGACTTTCAATTGGATTCTCATTTGCTTTGGTTTGTGGGGATTGTTTGTAGATATACAGCTACCAATACCGGATTCAACACGAGAGCATTCCTTTGACGGAGGAGAAGCAGATTCTTAAAGAGATCAGGCTGCTTGAAGGTACAAGAGATAAGGTCATTGCTAATGCGGCTATGAGAGCCAAGATCAAAGAGTCTATGGGGCAGAAAGATGATATCCAAGGTCAAGTTAAGGTAAGAGAGTCGTGTTTAGTCAACTACTTTTGGCTTCTTGCGTTTAAAGAGTCTTGTAGGGATTGTTTCATATGTGTGCCTTTGGTGATGTTTTTTGTTTGCAGTTAATGGGTGCTGGTTTGGACGGAGTGAAGAAGGAGAGGCAAGCAATTTCAGCAAGGATTGGTCAGCTGAGTGAGAAGGTGAAAGCAACGAAAGATGAGATTTTGGTTCTGGAGAATGAGCTCAAGGCTGTGAGCGAGAAGAGGGACAAGGCTTATTCGAACATTCATGAGCTTAGGAAGCAACGTGATGAGACGGTACAGACAATACTTTTCTTGTGATGGAGAATGATTTGTGCAAACATTGATTTTTGTGTATGTTTTTTCATTACAGAACGCTGGGTTTTACCAAGGCCGTAATGTGTTGAACAAAGCTAGAGACTTGGCTACACAAAAGAACATAACCGACCTTGAGGCACTTGCTAAAGCCGAGGTTGAGAAATTTGTTACTCTCTGGTGCAGTAAGAAGAATTTCAGAGAGGATTATGAGAAGAGAATCTTGGCCTCACTTGATGCTAGGCAGCTGAGCCGAGATGGGCGGATGAGAAACCCCGAAGAGAAGCCTATACTTGCTCCAGAGGTTCCAGCGGCAAAGGCTGCGCCTTCTAAAACCGAGGTTGTCCCTAAAGCTAATGCAAAGCAGCAGCCAAAGGAGGAACCAGTTTCTGCACCTAAACCAGATGCTAGTGTTGCTCAGAAGACTGAGAAAGCTAAAGATACAGCGAAAGTAAAGAAAGTTGTGAAAGATGAGGATGATGATGATGAAGTATATGGTCTTGGAAAGCCACAGAAAGAAGAGGTAGATGAAGCTACGGTGAAAGAGATGAGAAAGCAAGAGGAGATTGCTAAAGCCAAGCAAGCTATGGAAAGGAAAAAGAAGCAGGCGGAGAAAAATGCTGCTAAAGCTGCTCTAAGAGCTCAAAAGGAAGCTGAGAAGAAAGCTCAAAAGGTAATTACTTTTTTTTTTTGTAGTACCACCTCAATGTTCTTTGCATTCTCTCTTTCCACTCTAATACTTGTCCATCTTTTTGTATGTTGCAGGAGCAAGAGAAGAAAGCCAAGAAGAAATCTGGAGGCAACACAGAAGCGGAGGCCATCTCTGAGGAAGGTCCAGAAGCTTCTGAGGCTGAGAAGGAGGAGACTGAAGCTCTAGTAGAGGAGAAGCCACAGAAGGAGAAAGTCTTCAAGGAGAAGGCGATAAGGAACAGGGTCCGCAGTAGAGGAGGACCAGAAAAGCTCCCAAGAGCGATCCTCAACCGTAAGAAGGCCACTAATTACTGGGTTTGGGCTGCTCCAGCTGCTGCTGTTGTGGCACTGTTGCTTCTTGTCTTGGGTTACTACTACGTTCTCTAGATCGAACGGAGTTATCAAGCGAAGCTGCCTTGTTGTAGTTTGGAATACTTTAAAGCTGGGATTTTTGCTTTCTTTCGAGGATGAGACTTCTTAAAAAACTTATAAGCTGCTTACGCCTCATTTACATACGAGTAGAGACTCTTCCCTTTTAAGTACTTTTACAACTTCACTTCTTTGTTCTTTCTCTTCTGTTGTTGAGGCTTCAACTTTTGAAGAACGAAAACAGTTTTTGTTAAACTTTATAGCAGTGATAATGTTTTGAGTTTTGATATGTTCTTCGTCCTTCTAACCGAAAATCTCTTGAGTTTTGATATGTTCTTCGTCCTTCTAACAGAAAATCTCTTAAGATGACATTTTTACATACTACCATGAGATATATGTTACATGATGATTAACACTTTTGCTACAAAGGATTTATAACATGCTATTTTAACAGCTCTTCCTTTTGTTCTCTCTCCAAGCTTTTTGCTTCTTGTTCCACCTTTGGAGAGCAATCTTGTCCAACTTCCACCGTTGCTGTCGAAACCGTTCTCTCCCTTTCAGCCAATCGGAATAATCCTTACCGGGCTCACACGCTATGAAATCTGCCAGCTCCTCCACGTCGCTGCTTCTCAGGTTGCCTTTTCCGGCCATACACCACAGAAATTTCTCTCCATTGCAGCTTTCCTCTTCAATACCAATTCCTGAATCCGAACCATTCTCTGGATCTTTAGCTCCAGACACCTTGCTGCATAACCATGGAGTTACAGAAGTCCAGTTAGTGATCTCATAAAGGTGGTTATCATCCCAATGAAAACGAATGAGGAGATGTACATACCCCAAGTACAAAGTTCTGAGTTTTTGAAACTTCAAAGCAACCGCGCCGCTCAGTTTCCTATCTACTGTAGTCTGTACCATATTATCATTGATCCATTTAGAATACTTCACAAATTTAGAGGTTGTGCAAAGAGTCAAAGACTAAAGAGTATTAAATGTTACATACCTTCTCAGTTTTACCAGAGGCTTCCGAGTCTTTGGAACCACTGGATGGTGTGGATGATGACGGATTCTCTGAGAGAAAAACTGAATCCCAAAGTGCTTCCAAGTCACCCCCTTCTAGGACAAACAAATACAGAGATACCACCATTCCAAAAATGGAGCCCTTTATTAGATAGTCAAGCTTGAGTGCATAGCTTACAGACAATAAGCCTGAAAAATGCATAACCATCCACTTAGATTTCACATGTCTGTTAGTATGAGATTTCATTTTATCCCACAGGAAACTTTGACCGGGCAAATGAACACTGAACTGTTCAAAACGTTGAACAACATCCATCATGGCCTTGTATTCCTTGCAAGCTCGAACATCTCCTACGGCTTCAGATCCATGCGAGTTCCAGTTCCTGAGAACTTGGATGGCTTGCAACATCGAACAACTCATCAACTTCACTGTGGATGCAAGCAGATATAGATCTTCCATACTAGATGAGTTGTATTTTTGCAGCACAGAGTCCATGACATCATCAGAGCTAGCTCTAAGTATCACGCAGCCAAGAATCGAAAAGGTCTGCGACAACATAGTTTCCGAGCAGGAGCTATCAAACACACATAAGCTGGCCTTCGCATATGCAACAGAATACGCTACCAGCTCACAGTTTTCTCTCTTGGCATTGTTACTTTGATGCGCACTCCATGACTCCTTTAGCTTCACTGTGAGATGATCAACTTTCTCCAGCGTCAAGCGGCAAAGAAGATGTTCAACATCCTTCCGAGAGCTACTCGTCGAAACACAAACCTTCCCAGATGAGGCATTCTCACCCTTCCACATGTGACTTGTGTATAAACCAACGGACTTTTCAAATGCATCGATGTAGCGATCAATAAGCTGAAGCTCCAACTCCTTAACACATGGAGGTGCAGAAACACCGATGGCATCAGAAGCCAATAAAACCACATAGGCTTGAATCATTCTTGGTGCAGAGGAGATCACCGGGTTTTGCAGCAAGGACACGGCAGCACACAAGCTTATCTGAGGAGTTCTATACGCATTTTCTTGCTGCCAGTATAATCTCTCAACACACATTTTCTCATCAGAAGTTGAGATGATAAAATGTGCAGAAACCATTTCCACCACGCCGGCTCTATCATGCTTACTGAACAGTCTACAGGAGGAGAATGCTGAATCGACTAGGAAAAGCAGATCCCTGATTGACTTATTCACCAAAATCTCATCCATGAAAACCTGAACACATAAAGCAATTGTCTTTCACAATGTATAGTCAAGAGCCACAAGTTTCATGAGTGTGAAAAGAAATCTAAGAACTATAATGATCCACAAATTTGTAATAATTTACCTCAAGCCCTTCCCAAAGAAATGTACGGCGGGGATCTAAAGGTCTTTCATGAGTGGTTACAAAAGAACAATCCCCATTCGTTGAGCGAATCAGTCGACTGAGGATTGAGAGAAGAGTTCTGCCTTTCTCCAGAACCAACTCTTGTTTGGGCATAAGCAAAGTCACCATCTTCATACAACATCTTAAGAACAGATTGGCTAATCCAATACTTTCTTCTGTAGTTGCAAATGTTGGACAAGTTTCAGCATTTTGTTTGAATAGAGTAGAGAATAGGTTCTCGAAACTCCTATCAAGCTCTGTGAACAAAACATGAGAGAGGTTACAAACATCCTCGAAATTGATCAATTCCACTTGGTCTCCACTGAGCTTGATACTCCACTGATGTGAAGCGATGTCGCAATTCTCCCAGTTTACTGGTTGAGTTGATGCGAAGTGACCCAGAATGTACAACAGACGGTTCAAGATTGGCGGCTTAGAAACCTGAAAATGAAAAAGGACTCAAATTGATTATTTCGAAAATCCCCAAACCCTAAAGTTCAGAGCTTTTTTCGACAAATTTTAGGAAAATACTCCAAATCGAAGCAATGCACAGTAAATTTCCGAGACCAGCTAATTGGAACAGAAGACTAAGATGCCAATTCTGATGAAAAGTTTCAAATCGCCGAACAACTGTTCATATTCTCAAAACGACTTTCCAATTGAGCAGATTGCAGAAACATTGTACCTGAGGGGACGCAATAGCTGAAGCAAGGGATCGGAATAAGTTGCCTGGATCTGAGACATTCGAAGCACGGCGCTTTTTACGGTTTCGCTTCGCCGTCATCGCCGCAGAGGAAAGAGGTGAAAATTGCTCGAATCGGCGATGTCCTCGATTTGAGGTCCTTGTATGGCGGGAAAGTAAAAAGCACGCGTCGGTTTTGTGCACTCAGAACGACACGCAGTTTATTATGATAAGGCCAAGGCCATGTTTGGTCAGAAAGACTAAGCAGCTTCTAACCAGGATAGTTCTATCTACACTCGTGGGTTCGGTTTATTTTCTGTGTTCTTGTCTTGGTTAATGTCTGAATATGTTTGATGTTGTTGTCGGAGAAATTAGTTGTAATAAACTTAAGTCTTGAGTTTTCGATCTGAACTACAGTCCACACAACAGTGATATTGTACTAAAAATCTCGTTATTGGTCTCTTCGACAGTACGCATTGATTATAAATTTATAATCATACATACAATAGCACATTCATCTCTCACAATTTCATTAGGTTGTGAGCCTTGTAAGCATCCGTATTTTGGCAATTTTAGTTTTTTTTTTCGCCGACGCATAGAAACACGGAAAGGTAACAAGAAGTCTTGGAACAAATTTGGACAATAAGGTAACATGACTTTTGATCTTTGTGCTCCATGATTTCTTATTGATTTGTTTTTGCCTGGCTGAAAATTTGTTTCAGAGGAAGCTTGGTGATTGGTGGGTCCGTGACATAGACATTGCATATCAGTGGTCACTGTGTCCAATTTAACACTTGGCCGATTCGTAGCGTACTCCACGTATCTACGTCGTGGGCCCCTATTCTCACCATGATACAATGGCTAGTTGTCACGTGCACCGCGTTGCACTTAGCCATCGTCCTTTAAATGCTTTGGCCCCATTCACAAATCACAATAATCTACTTTGGTTCTCTTCTTGACTTTGTTTTCTTTCGGTCTAATGTGAAATATCTTACTTCCATTTTTTCATTAATCAACAATGGATTAAGTTACTAAGAATTTGGTTAAGATATATTTTATACATTAAAAAATCAGTTAAGTTACTAAGATAATTTTTATGCGATTATTCAGCCTCAGTTGATAAATATATTTCACTACGCTAAGATGCACTGAATGCAAAACAAGTGTAGTAGGTCCATAGTTTTCTACTGCCGACAAGGAGAAAAAAGAAAGAAACAATGTAAAGTGACAATGAAAATACCAAAAACAAAAGAGGAAATTTGAAATTACAGCGTCGACAAGAACAAAAAAAAAGAGAGAAGAAAATACAGCAAGGCTTGTACGTATCTTTTCATCATAAAACAAAATAAAGTGGAAAATAAAAAGAACTTTCTTGCATGTGTGTGATATTGACATAAAGAAAAGCATCAAAAACAAAAGATAAAAGTCTCCAAGTCTTTACAGTACGTGGACGGTGGAGCTTTTAGTAGGTAGATAAATTAAAATTACAGTTAGCCTTTAATGTGATTGTGAAAAGACTAAAATCATTGAACTATATGCAGCTTGGTACTACTACTATCTATTGCCCAACTTCAAATCCATCCTTTGAATTTTTCGTTGAGAATAATAACAGTTAAGGTTTTGGGAAGAAAAACTAGAGTAAATATCTTGAATTTTTAGTAACTAGAGTGAGTAATAAAGTTTACCACAACAATGTGTCTATTATTTATCATAACAAAACAACAATCCAACTATACTCAATATTACGGAACTACAATGGAAGAAAAGAAGAAGTAGAAACTAAAACGAAACTAGAACAATAGAATCAAGAAAATGGAATCAGACATGAAACCAGAGCCTCCAAGTGTTCTTAAGCTGACAGAAAGACAGTCAAAACCAGACTCAACACTGTAGCTACCCACATAACGGACATACCATTCGCAGAAGCCTTTTTATCGCCTGGAGCTTCCGCCGGCGAAGAGATATCACCGGAGGACGGACCACCTGCCGAGGGACCCATCCCCATCCCCGAGCCTGATGGAGAAGGTGCAGGCGGCGAGTTTTCCGACGGCGAGTCAGAACCAGAGGAAGGAGATTCTACCGGAGCCATAGATGGAGAATCGGTGGATGAAGATTTCGGTGCCATTGAGCCGGGCATTGAAGAGCCAGGAGAAGAGGACGGTGAAGCAGGGAGAGATGATTCAGGTCCCTGAGGTGCTGGCGGAGAACTCTCCGGAGAAACAGGGGAGGATGATTTAGGCGCCATTGATCCCGGCGGTGAAGACATCGGAGCAGAGGACGGAGAAACAGGGGAGGATGATTTAGGTGCCATCGAACCCGGCGGAGAAGTCACCGGAGAAACAGGGGAGGAAGATGATTTAGGTGCCATTGAACCAGGCGGAGAAGTCGTAGGAGAGACAGGGGAAGAAGACTTAGGCGAAAGGGCTCCCGGCGGAGAACTTCCCGGTGCGGCGGCGTGAGGAGGCGGAGCCGTAGTCTTAACAGAAATGACAACGACAGTAAGCTTTTGCCCCTTCTTACAGTTATCTTCGTTACCACTAATGAAGTAAAACGGACCATAACGGTCAAGCGAGATCTCAGAATCGCCGTCGTCGACTCTCTTGATCGGATTCTTGGTATTACATCCGTCGAAATCAGCCTTGTTCACCTCTAACACCGAGTCCATCCCCTTGGCGTAGCTAAAATCTGCAAGAATGGAAACTGAGTTTCAGACAAAGATCCACATTAAGTAATAAGTGGGAAAAAGAGAGAGATTATGTACATACAGAGTGTGTCGTGAATTAGGAAACGGCTTTTTCCAGACCAAGATTCGTAATTTTCCGGCGGGTTTGGAACCCACGCGCCGGTACCTCCGACTTGAAACTTCCGTGCGGCGGAGATGGTGAAGAGCGTGGTGAAAGAGAGGAGGATGGTGAAGAAGAGAGAGAGGGTTTTGGTGTCTTGAAACGCCATGGTTTCAAAAAGCTTTTTAGTGAGGATTAGGAGACAAATGGATGTGAGTGTGTGTATATATAGAAATGAAAGGTTTTAAAGATGAAGAGAGGAAAATGGGGGAATAGGCTAAGGAAAGTGAAGCTTTTGTCTTTATGATAAGAGGGGAGATCAATTTATGGGTAATACGTGTTTGAAATTGAATCTTGCGTATCTACTTGTTTTTTCCTCATTAAAAGAAGAGACTCTTTATTCTTCGTATCTACCGACGTGTTTAATTTATTCTTTTGGGATTTGAAATGTTTCGAAAATATCAAAAAGAAACCTTAGTGCTACGAGTTTAGTACGCGTTGGAGAGTTGTAGATTTCAAGAATCGGATTCAACAACACCAATCTCTGAAAATTAATGATCATTATGAGGATATGACCAACGACGAATCATATTCCAATTTCCATTGATGTGAGAATACTAAAAAGTCTTGAAACTTGCATCTGGTTCCAAATTTAAAACTGGCTTCTCTTTTTTTGGGTAAAAGTTTAACATACAATTTACAAACAACGTTTTGTCTTCCGATGATTGTGCCTAAAATATAATTTCATGTAGAGGACTACCAATACCATGTAGTATGATGATGTATGCGATCTTCTAAAGATGATCCAAGTATATCATTATTTTTCATGTATTAATCACTATTACGTTAAAACATTAATTAGTCTCATGCAAAGTTTCCACAAAAAGAAACTTGCGAACTCGGAAAAGTGGTAATGTAGTAGATCCAAATCCAATCACTAAAAAATTTGCGATATTCGAAGGTTTTGAGCTGGGCTTTGAAATGGGCCCTGACTTTGATGTTAAGAAGACCATGATCACTTTTCTTTACACTGATACAAATCACACTTTAGCACAAGAATCAATCTTTGCTTTTGTTGCTTTGGGGACACGTCAGAAGCACAGTCATGAGCCATCTGTTCTTCTCTTGACACTAACTCGACTCTCAAAGTTGCATATACATTAGAGAGAGGTTCCAGTGTTGATCTCAAAACGGGAAAAAATGGCGGCTAAGAGAGGAGCCATAAACATATACAGAGCTTCCTTTTTACACAGAGATCACAACAACAGTGCTCGATCAGTTGCTGATGGAGTCAGCATCATCAATAGCTCTCGTCACTTCTCATCACACGTACGTTGTTTTTGCTTTCTTTGAATTCGTTGAAGTAAAAAAGTCTTACGATAGATTGATGCATACAAGAAGCGTTGCGGTTTTTCATATGGTTTTACACTTTTACTTGATTCTTTCAAAACTCTGCAGGGAAACAACGGAAGAGAGGAGTCAAAGCAAGAGGGAATGGGGACAACTACAGATGGCAAAGCTCCGAATGTGACATTGAGTCATGCCGCTGACACAGCCAAAGAGGGATTGGAACGAGCCACCGATGCAGCCACCAAGGAGAGTGGAGATGTGGGCAAGCGGAAGAGTGCAGAGAATGAAGGAGGTGAACAAGAGAAAGTAGCTGTGGGTGAGGATGGAACTGTCGAAGGCCAAAATCAGTCCTCAGGGTGAGAGGAATATTCACATAGATCATGTTATGACAGATACGACTTTATGCAAATCTTAGGGATATACAGTAAGTAGAAAGCAAGTTGTCGTGAGAATTTGTACTTATGTTCTTGGGGTAAGAGAAAGGAGACTTGACAATTTCTCATTTACTCGAGTAATATCTATTTTCTCACTTCTCACACCATCCATAAACTTTCCCTTTCGCTTATTACTTATTACAATGTCGAATTTGAGATAATGTCTAAGTCTAACATTCACACTTTCGTATTCTACCATCTAGCCGCTGTTTTTCTTGTCTGCTTCTCTCTGAGTACACTGCATTTATGATTCCCAAAACTTACAAAATCCAATACCCTTGTGGTCGGTCAGTCCATTGATACGGTTTATCTTCCTCGAGATGGTTTCTTGGAAGGCGTGAGCTTCCTGAATCCGGCGTGTAATAACATAACTACAAAGAGACAAGGAGAAGCATATCAGAGCTAATAACAGATCATACAAAGCTTCATCGGAATTTGACTATTGGTTGGTTAGTTACCTGAATAACTGACCGCAAGAGCAGAGAACAAAGCCATTTGGACATTCAGAAACGCCAGAAGAACTGCAGTCGCTGCAAGTAGCATAAGAAAGGCAACAACTTTAGGCTTTTACTATAAATCCATTTACAGTTTCAGTTTCTTCAAGATCCCAAAACGTTATTGCGATTACAATGTGTAATCCCATTGGACACAAACTTTCAAAATATACAACAGATTTTCTGTAGACTACTAAAGTGAGCAGCCTATTCTTACTCCGTTGCTTTTTTACAGAGTAATATCAGCTTTAGAGATTAAGCTAATCAAAGGAACGCTTTGAACCAAAAGATTCACAAAACCCAAAAGTCTCTCTTTGAATTCAATATCAAAACGTTTTCAGCTTACTGTGACTATAAACACCTTGCAGAACTACGAATGCTAGTCAAGTGTGCAAAGCAAACCAAAAACAGAAACAAATTGATCGGAAAAACTCACCGCACTGTCCAAAACCAATCAAGAGTTTCCGAGCGGAAGGATGACGATCGAATTTCCATCTGTCACTGCAGTATTTGAACAGCTCCCAAAGCGCTAAGCTTGCTAACAATCCCACCAGTGCAAGTGGCATTTGATATCTACAAGCACCAAAGTGACCAAAGAACACCACAATTAGCAATCCAATTCCAGGAAATGTCTTTCATACTTAGCCTAATCGAACAAATTTCGAAGCTTTAGATAAAAGAGAAATGTAAGAGCAAGGATTCATACAATGCGCAAGCGAAGAAGACGATGAAGAGCGTTGCGTAATTCCTAGCGAACCGCTTGATATTCTCATGGACTCTCATCCTCGCTTGCTGAGCAGAAGACGGGAACGAATAAGAGTCGCACGTGCCAAAGAAACCCGTGGTCCACGGAGGCGTATCTCCGGAGAAGTCATCGGCGGAGAGCTTCGAGAACGGGTTGATGGTCAGAAGAGAAGAGACAGTGACGAGCCGAGACAAGAGAGACGCGAAGAAGCCGCCGGTTATGGAGGAAACGACATCGTCAGAGGCCGCGGAAGGTGTGGCAGCTGAGGACGACGAGGAAGCGGAGGCCGAGACGGCTGCGGCTGCGGCGGAGGTGCGGTGATCGAGGAGCTCGAGGTAGCCGGAATCGCGGAGCCAGGATTCGAAAGCAGGGTCGGGGACGCTTAGAGAGAGAGGATTAGGAGAGAAGGCCATTGTTGTCGTCGCCTCGATTATCCGTCTGTCGTCGTCTCTCCGCCTCGGTCTTCCCCAAAAATGAATTTTGTTTTTTTCTACAGAAAATTGCTTACTTAATCCATAACTTCTTCGAAATTTCAAAATTGTGCACTCAGATATTTTCTTGCTAATTAGTACCTCTTAAAATTTTGTTTATGTAAAATGACTTTTAGGAACTTTTCATAAACTTAAAATTTTGTGGTAATTTTGGATAAAAAACATAAAATGTAGTATTACTGAGATTTTAATCCCTTCCAATATACACATCTTAATGACTAAGGAGTTGGTGATTTTAATCATAAATACAAATTAAAAAGAAAAACGGACATATGCCCAAGTAATAGATTCTCAAATATGTTGACATTCATATCTTCTCTTAAAATTACTGTACAGTGTATAAACCATATTAATGGATACATACACGTACTGATTAACTGGTAGATTTGAAATGTGTAATGGAAAGTATATAAACAACACGTGTCTGAAAATGTGATACCAAATGGATAGTGTAATCTACATTATTGTAACAATATGAGAAAGTTGGATTTTCTTACTTTTTCTGTAAAAGATGATTACAAAGAAAGGATTTCAAAAGATAAGTGTAATATGTACTGAATTGGAATCTACCCAAAACATATAGCAATCTAAATACGTTTTAAATTTTTAAAGCAGTATTTAGCCACGTATTTATAAGTTGCAGATTCTGTTCTAATTTTGTCCAAATATATTAGTGAATCATCACATAAAACAACTTTTATAAAGAGAAAATGATCTAAAAATAAATAATAATAATAACTTTTATTATTAAAGGACAAGTATTAAGCTTCTTATAAATAAGAAGAAAGACTAGACCATTTTTCTCACACACCCTTTTAATTCATTTTTAGAACGAATATTGAAAGAGAGAAAGAAAATGACGAGGCCACGACTGATCGTAGTGTCGATGTCGCTTCCGGTTACTGCAAAGAGGACAGGAGAAGAGTCTTGGTCTTTCGCCATGAATTCTGGTGGTCTAGTTAGTGCTCTTCTAGGTAAGAAGATACATTTTGGTAATTAATGAATTAATCAAACACAAGAAAGCAGTTTTTGATATTATATTAATTTGTATCTTTTAAAGGTTTGAAAGGGTTTGAAACCAAATGGATTGGATGGCCTGGAGTAGATGTTTATGATGTGGTTGGAAAAAAGGCACTCTCCACTGCCCTAGCTGAAAAGGTACGTAAAGATTTTGAAAAGTCTCGTATATATATACTTGTATGTTTTAATTTGATATTCCGATTGCGTTTGTTTGCGTTTGGAATGAACAAAAAAATTGGTTAGAATGCTAGAAGGTAATCGAGGCCTTAGTCATGATTCAGCTAGTTTTTTTTGGTAAAATATGTTATACCTAGTTGATATAATATGATGATTAAACTTCTTGGATTTGGTTTGCAGGGTTGTATCCCAGTGTTTCTGGAAGAAGTTTGTGATCAATACTTCAACGGGTACTGCAACAACATCCTGTGGCCGATTTTCCACTACATGGGAGCACCACCAGAGTATCGTGATGATGGAACCATAACGTACCAGTCACAGTATGATGCATACAAGAAAGCAAACCGAATTTTCTTTGATGTGGTAAAAGAGCACTATCAAGAAGGAGATGTAGTATGGTGCCATGATTATCATGTTATGCTTCTTCCTCAATATCTTAAGGAATACAACAGTAAGATGAATGTTGGATGGTTTCTCCACACACCATTCCCTTCCTCCGAGATGTACAAAACGTTGCCCTCTCGATCCGAGTTGCTTCGTTCTATTCTTACTGCTGATTTAGTCGGGTAAATATTTTTTTTTCACTTTTCGATTATTATTTTGGATATTAAAGGGTAAACTATCTCATACTATTTTTTTTGTATGTCTTTCTTTTTCTAGTTTCCATACATATGATTTTGCAAGACATTTCGTGAATGCATGCATGTGTATTCTTGGAATCGACGCAACATCTGAAGGAGTTGTGGATCAGGGCAAAGTCACTCAAGTAGCTGTTGTAATGACCCATTATTTTGAAACTAATCTCTTAAGATTGATTTGATCAGCTCATCATGAATATTTAGATATATTTGTTTATGGTTTTGTTTGTTTTTTTTAGTTTCCCATTGGAATAGAACCTGAGAGGTTTATTAGCACAAGTGAACTCCCTGAGGTCGTACAATACATGAAGAAGTTTAAAAACGATTTTGCTGGCAGAAAGGTAGACATATATGCTCTTATGCTGTTTAATAGATTGAAAGAAAGAAAAGAAGAAAATATGTAACACAGTTCTATATTTTTTCTTGACAGTTGATATTAGGTGTTGACCGTATGGATTTCGTCAAAGGGCTACCACAAAAATATCAGGCATTTGAAAAATTTCTAGAGGAAAATGAAGATTGGCGTGGTAAAGTCATGTTACTTCAGATTGCAGTACCAACAAGGAATGGTATTGGTGAATGTAAGTTTTTCTTCCTCCTTTTCTTGTACTTATTTAGCTAATAGTACGTATAACAATTCATAGAATTGTCTGTGTCCTATATTACAGATCGAAAGATGAAAGACCAATGTCATAAACTGGTTGGACGAATTAATGGTCGTTTTGGTTCTATCTCTTCTGTCCCAATAACTCATCTGGTTTGTTAGCTACTCTCTTTTATGTGGTCACGTTATACTTTTTGCTTATCGTCTTACAGTTTCTGATAAAGATTGTTTCCTCTTTCTATGTCAGGATTGTTCTGTTCCCTTTGATCAATTATGCGCACTTTACGCCATCGCAGGTATACTATTTACCATACTGTATACGCTACGTACATGATGATTTAATTAGTTACATTATTCTGTATATATATATACATCGGTTGATTTTATTTTCTGTATTTGTTTTTTCATCAGATGCATTACTTGTAACATCTTTGAGAGATGGAATGAATCTTGTGAGTTCTGAATTTGTTGCCTGCCAAAAGGAGGAAAAAGGAGTTCTCATTCTCAGCGAGGTAACTGAATTTAGATAGCTCTGAATGTCTGACGTTAATAATAAATTAGTTACACTACAATGTTCAAAAGTAAAATATTCTTGTATGAGGTTCGCAGTTTGCAGGTGCTGGACAGTCACTTGGTGCTGGAGCTCTTCTTGTGAATCCTTGGAACATTAAAGAAGTTTCTAATGCCATTGGAGAAGCTCTAAACATGTCACCCGAAGAAAAGGAGAGAAAACACAAAATCAATTTTCAGTATGTGAAAACTCATTCTACTCAACAGTGGGCAGATGATTTCATGAAGTATGTGCAACTTCAAAACAGTAATCCTCATAATATCTTACCTCAACTTTGTTCTTTATTAGACGACTTACAATTTTTTGTTTTTCAGTAAACTTAATGAGATCACATCTAACGGTGAGCTACAAAATGGAAACGTCCCACATGAACTTCCACAACATGATGTGGTTCAACAATATTTAAAGTCTAATAATAGACTGCTAATTCTTGTAAGTGCATGTTCTATCTATCTATATATATATATATATATATATATATATATCTGAAAGGTTTATTATTATTCTTGCACGTGGTCACTAAGTTAATTGTCTTTACAAATGTAAAAAATGTTCATCAGGGTTTCTGTGGAACGCTCACTCCTCCGAATAAGAACCAAGAGAAAAGAGGCGAAGGGATGAATCTTGAAGTGCACCCACATCTACACGAAAGACTAAAAGAATTATGCAGTGATCCGAAAACAACAGTCGTTGTCCTGAGTAGAGGTCCAAAAAGCTTATTGGATAAAGTAAAATGCTCTGTCTCTCTTCTTTTCAAATATTCATTTACTTGTTTTCTCACTGTGAACTGATTTAATTAGTACCTAAAAAACCAGAACTTCGGAGAGTGTAACATGTGGTTAGCCGCGGAAAATGGAATGTTTCTAAGGCATACAAGTGGAGAGTGGGTGACAAAAATGCCAGAGCACATGAATCTGGATTGGATTGATGGTGTCAAGGTTAGTATATACATATATCTTAATTAGTACTCAAGTTTGATGATAGCTATACTTTGTCCTCTCAATCTTTTGTGTTTGCTTTGCTTACAGCAAGTTTTCAAGTACTTCACTGAAAGAACTCCAGGATCATATTTCGAAACAAGCGAGACTTCACTTGTATGGAATTATCAATCTGCAGGTGATTATTTTATAAAACATATAAGGAACAGAATGTATACATTTATTTCTGGTCAATAATATTATATACGCATTTGCCTTTTTCTTTTTCTTCCAAGACTTATGTTTGTTTCCTTGATGTTTCGTTTAAATGAAGATGCTGAATTCGGTAGAGCTCAAGCAAGAGACATGTTACAACACTTGTGGGCAGGACCAATCTCTAATGCATCAGTGGATGTTGTCCGAGGAGACAATTCTGTTGAAGTCCATGCTGTTAGTGTGACAAAGGTAATTTAATCCTAATTAAATATCATGTATGTTTTCTATATCATCCGTACCCAAGAGATTCTCATTTTCCATGGATCTATCAATATCTTCTTTCTATGTTACTCTTAGGGAAGTGCAATGGAGCGTCTCATTGGAGAAATAGTACTGCAAAATAAGTCAATGACTACACCGATTGATTATGTCTTATGCATTGGTAATTTCTTGGGCAAAGTAAGTAACCAAATGTTGATTACACTTATCATAAAATAAAAAACTATCCATGGATTTTGATTCAAGGGTTGATGTATGTTACAGGACGAAGACGTTTACACTTTCTTCGAACCCGGTTTAAGCAAGAAAAGGAAGTCTTCAGGCAATGGTTCCCCCAAGAAGGTCTCATCGACCGTCGTTGACCTAAAGGAAGAGAACTACTTCTCTGTAGCTATTGAGAAAACGCACACAAAGGCTAGCTATTTCCTTGACTCATCTGATGACGTTGTGCAACTGATCCACAAGCTTAACGCACACAACAAAGCCTGATTCATCATAGATTCTGTGAGACAAATTCGGCTCAGTGGTACTATTTTTAAGATGCTGTCCCTTTGCAAAACTCATTTATAGTTCTCTCTTTCTCAGTTTCTTTTCTTTGTCTCTCCTTTTTTTTTGTCCTTCCTCCTTTAGTTCTATAATGGAGAGAAACTTTCTTTTGTTCTTAGAATTTATATAATTTATCCTATCGTCTTGATTTTGCCTGTCTTGGAAAACTTGATTCACAAGGCAATCTCAAACAAATATTAAAACTTAAAAAAGCAATACATGAGACAACTAAAAAACAAATTAATCTTCAAGATAGTTTGGTTTATATCTAACCTTATTGATTCATCCGCCCATTGCTACTTAGAAACATTGATCGTAATGTTCATATCTTTCTTAAAAACTTTTCAATCTCAGTCATGTTTGGATAATGAGATCCTGCAGTGCTCCTATGAAATTATCAGCATAACCGTCCATTAGTCCAGGACTAGCTAGTGTCTCCCTCAACTTGGTGTGATTCTTCTTCACCAGATCCCCAAGCTCGCTGTCCCTCTTCATCACACTATTGATAGCATCACGCAAGCTCTCTTTCGAGAACCATCCAGTTTCATCTCTTGCCACTTCAACCGCAACCTCGAGTTCCTCACTCATCAATCTTGTGTTGACGACCTGCTCAGCTTCCTGAGGTAGCAACACTATCTGACAATCACTCAACAAAGCCTCCCACGTTGATCCAAACCCACAATGGCTCACAAAGCACCCCACCGATGGATGAGACAGTATCAATGGCTGTTGGACCCATCCTCCCGAAACAACTCCTCGTCCTTTAACCCGCTCCTCGAATCCATCCGGCAGTGCCTCTTGAATCGTTGATACGCCTCTTGGTGGCTTAACCGCTACAAGAAACGGTAAGCCTGTTAGCTCCATTGCTAAGCAGAGCTCTTGAAACTGATCTTTCTCCAAATTGACTTCTGTTCCCAATGCACAGAACACCACTGAGTCTGGTCCAAACCCACTTAGCCAGGTGCTCCATTGTTCTTCTAGCTGTCTAGTCTTGTCTGGCTTAGGGAACATTGGACCCGTCAAGAGAACCTTTTTCTTGCAATTCTCTCTGATATAGTCGCAATATTTTCCTTCGATTTCTCTTGTTGTCTTTGTAGCAATGACGTCGCAGGTCATAAGACCTGTAAAGACTCGTTCAACGAAACCTGGTATGTTATCGTTATCGTTGTCGGTTAAGGACTTGATGGAGTAAACATCTTGTTTACGAAGCAGCACCTTCGATGAAGGATATCCCGGCGGAGGAACACCTAACTCAACACGTGGGGCAAGAGAAAGAGCTATACTCGATGCAGACCACAGGAGGTAGTGCACAGCCTTGACGCCAAACTCTCTAGCTATTTCCGGAATCCAATGAGCAAAGTCGAAGAAGATCAGGTCCGGTTTCTCGGCTCCGACCACATCCTCAACCTGACCACGTGTGAGGTCCATAGCCGAAGCCAAGAGCTTCGCTGATGACAAGTGGATTTCAGAGGTTGACTCGACGCCGACGGGGAGACCGTCGACACGAGGGATAGTGATAGTGTGAAAAACAAAGTTGTCTGGAAACAGATTGAGATGTTCAAACTGTTTCGTAGCTTTCTTGGGAAGCAAGAAAGTAACCCTATGACCCTTCTCAGCCATTTTATTGGCAAGATGCAAGAACGGAGTCAAATGGCCAGTTCCAAGCCATGGATACATGAGTGCATGAAACTTTGAACCCATTTTCTGATTTCTTTTTTCTTTTTCTTTGTATCTCTGTTATGTTTTGGACGCTAAACGGTTTTACTTATACTGTTATACATTGAAGTAAAGGCATGAAAGCTACCAAGGGGCCTACGTAAATTAGAAGGGGTCCATCACATACTCTCTCAATCAATAGTTATATACTGTATTGAATTAATACTCTTCTCTCATCTACTTTGCCTCGTTCTAATAGAAGATTTAATGGTTAGTTGGTTAGTAGTGGCATACACGTTTTTTTGCTACAAAACTTTTGTGTGGCATAAATCGTTGTAACGTGGAACTCTAAACGTTCGTTCAGTTCAAATAAGGGTTGTCTGCCTTTGGATCAAGATATATGCCTTTGCGGTCCCGATCCTTAACATTTTTTCATCCAAACAAATTAGATACATAAAAACATTACTAGTGTTTGTTTTAAAAATAAAATCTGCGCGGTAAAAAAGCTTTCGTAACAGATTAAGAAGACTGAAAATTGGATAATAAAGATAAGAAAGAACGAAAAAAGATTGGATATTTCTTTTTCCCAATATTCAAACAAATTTCCTCTTAAAATGTAAGGGATCCCAAAATGTAATGTGGAAGAAATACAAACTACAAAGCCACTTAGTACTGTACACGAGTATAAACTTTCTAAAATGTAACTCCAACCACTTGTATTTATAACGTAACTGAAAGCTTAATGTCTACTTGTAGCAACTTTGTCACACATCTATGAAACTATGCTACGTACGGATCAAATGATATCGCTAAATATTTGCTTACCAGCACTGTGATTTAGGCCATGGATTAAGAACACATTTTGAGACCACCTAATCTGTTTGCAATTGTAGTGGTGGATGGGATCATAATATATTTTCATGATCGAATTCTCATAGAATTTACTAGAGGCGGGCATAACACAGTATTGTACGCATGGTATTGACAATACAACAGAGATGAACATAGGAGTTATAAAGTGAGAAACATGATTTTGAGTTGGAAATGAAAAATCAAAGGGTCACAAGAGGCGCCTCATCAGTTTTGGCAGGTGTTTGCTCTTGTGTTTGTGGCTCAATCTCTGACGAAGCTTTCTCTTCTGCCTTCACAGCTTCTGGAACTGGCTCGGCCTTGATTGCCTCGGAGGAGTCCTCTTTTGTCTCACCTTCCTTCTTTGCCTCTTCACTCGACTCTTCTTCTTTTGTCTCACCTTCCTTCGTTGCCTCCTCACTAGTCTCTTCCTTCTTTGTCTCTTCACTAGACTCTTCCTTCTTCTCCTGTGAAACAACATATCAGCAATAATAGTTTCATCTTGATACGAATCTCTTCAATCTTGAATTTCTTATATTGATTATTCAAGCTATGATTATATAAACAGTTACACACCTTAAAAAGATCATACATAATCAAATATCATCGTTTTTCAAAAGATTTTTATTTTATTTTAAATATCATCTCAGTTAACACTTGGCTTATAAAGGGACCCTGTCTATATCTTCTCTAAAACCTCAAAATGTATGTTTTGCAAATATTTTAAAACAAATGAGCTTTTTTAAGAAAAAAATCAAACCCAAATGACAAAGCCAGAAGAAATGATCAAATGAGATTCACAAAACCTGAGTTAATGTGGCATCTGTTTGGGTCGTGGCATCCTTGGACTCGACAACAACATTTTCGGTCGGGACAGAGCCTTCGACGATATCAGATTCCTTAGGTCTGCTCGCACAGCCTCCCATGGTTTTTTGATTAAAAAGATTAGTTTGAAAATAAATTACAATGGGAAGAGCTGTGGAGCAAGAATGAAAGAAAAACAAAAATAGATTGGGAAGAAAAGAGAACTCCTCGAGACCAAATCTAGTTTCTCATTTTATAATCGGAGGCTTAGCAAATATAGGAGAGGCTTGTGAAGAGTTATATATAGCAGATCGTATAATGGACAAAGCTATTTCAGGTAAAGTCTGGTCGATTTTAAGATTCATGACAATTGTTTTATGCTCCACCGTTCTTCTATGTCCGGTTTAGGAACAATTGTTTCTTTTCCCGCTGGGGAATAGTACCGAAATACTGACATCACACTGGGTAAACAAAACAGCGAGTCGATATTTAGACTTTCATAGCTAACAGAAGACGAATGATAAAGTAAAAACTCTTTCAGAGATATGTTTCCTATTTGCAAAGTAAATGATATTCTAGACGCTCACTGTCTCATATTTTGAAAGCTGGAAGGAATGGCTTCCAGTTTCCTCAAGCCCAAAGAATTAACTCGATCTTGCTTTTGTCTTGGCTACTATGGCTCCTTGGTGCGACTTTGAAGAGAGAACCGTGGTCCACCGGTGAGACCTGGTTTCTCTGTATCAAACGTTGTTGAGCCTGATTGGTTTTTAGAGCCTTCTGGTGTATGTTTCTCATCATCCGTCTCTTCCCAGTCTTCTTCTTCAGATTCTGCTGTTTCTTGGTGATCGGTGTTGGGAGTATTTTGGACAAGGCTTTTGTACATTGTTAAAGCTTGAGCAATCATGCTAGCAGGATTTGAAGCCCCACTTGGAAGCAACATTGTCGTACCCTAAACAACGCCCATCAAAAAATGAATCACAAAACATTAAATTAAGCCCACGAATTGCCATGAGACTGTTGTTAATTTTTCATTTTTACCTCCTTGGCAATGTTACCGAAGGCATGAATGTATTGCTCTGCAACTCTAAAACTCGCTGCCTGCAAATTGTACAGTCATGAAGTATGAGATCATATTTTGGAAAGAAGAAAAATAAGAAACCTAAGCGTAGTAACATTAGTCTATGACTTAAAATTCCCACAATTTGGCAAGTCCAAGAAGACGCAGACAGAAACCTTTATCAAGAGATAATATGGCTATACTATTTAGAACTATGTAATCAAGCTAATTCGTTAAACACAAAAATTATGACTATTATTCACCATCTTGGTCTCGTTGACTAACCTCTGCTCCCCCAGTTTCATTGAGGGAGTGAGATAACAAGGCAAGGCCTCTGGCAGTTGCTTGTGCCCTAGCTAGTATTGCTTCAGCTTCACCTGAAGAACATCATCGGAGGATAACATAAGAAAAAGAAAAAAAAAACACAGTGGGAGTAGCAACCATGCCATGCATTAGCAGTAAAGAAATAGTTTCCTTTCACCAAGCATTCAGAAGTGTATAGTGAAAGAATAAGCAAATGAAAGTATGCAACTAAAGTTTCACCTAACGAAAGTAACAAACAATGGACACCACATGTCGCTATGATGTGTTCTCTTACTCCATCTTAATGGCGTACTAACCTTGTGCTCGATTCACTTGGTCCATCTTTGCTGCTTCAGATGCCAAGATTACAGAACTTTTCTTACCATCAGCTATATTGATATGGGATTGCCTTTCTCCTGTGAAAAAATGAAGGAAATGATAGGAAACATGTTAAGCAGGCCTCTTGTTTTCCAAATGCACCCAAAAAAGGAACAATAGGTAGCTTTTAGCTAAGAATAGTAACAAACACTGTAAGATCTCCGATAAGTCAGGCAGGTTTACCTTCAGATTCAAGGATCTGGGCTCTCTTTTTACGTTCCGCTTCTGCTTGCATTTCCATAGCAGCTCTCACACCATGAGGGGGCATGATATCCCCTGGAGATATATGAATTAGAAACAGGCAGAAAAAGATATGTAGCTACCACCGGCAAAGAACAAACACAAAAACAACTCACTTATCTCATAACGAAGACACTGAAGACCCCAGTCTTTTGCAGCAACATTGATGGCTTCCTGCAATTTATTTGTTTAAGTAACAACAAATCATAAAAATTGAAACAGAGACAAAGAAGCACAGAGAACGAACCACAATCTTCTCGTTGAGAGTATCTCGTTCCTCGAAGGTCTTATCAAGCGTGATCTTACCAAGCTCACTACGCATTGTGGTCTGAGCAAGCTGCACAACTGCATAGATAGGACTCTCAACGCCATAAGAAGCCAATTTAGGATCCACTATCTGAGAACAATAAATCAAGCTAAGGATCACAAAAGAAGGAAATCAAATTTGAAAACAAAAAAATCAGAGAGGAAATGAAAATTGGTAAGAGCAAAGAAGATGAACCTTAACGTAGAGAACGCCATCGATGTGGATACTAACATTGTCTTTGGTAATCGCAGTCTGATTCGGAATTGGGATTGCTTCTTCCTTGAGGGAATGAACATAAGCAATGCGATCCACGAACGGAATGAGGAAGTGAATCCCCGACGGCAACGTCTTGGCGTATTTACCGAATCGCTCGATCACAAACGCCTTCCTCTCCGGAACTATCCGGATTCCAAAGTTAACCGGCGGCTCCATTTGGAAGCTACACGACATTCACCCGAATCAACCGAAGAATCAATTAATCAAATCCTACATCTTTCGAATTTCCACATAGCAAAAAAAATCGGAATCCTGAGCTCAAAAACCTGTTCGGATAGCCGGCAGAGGTGAACTGGCGGACGTTTACTGCGGCGGAAGAGAAAATTGGAGGTGAAGAGGCGACGGAAGATTGCCGGAGGTACGTAATGGACCTCAAGGAGGTGCAACGGAAGGAAGTTGAACGGACGAGGTGGTTCATCTTTGCGGAACTCAGAAGGAAAAACCCCAAAACAAAACCTCTTCAGGCGTCTTCACTCTCTTCAGGTGCTGTTGTTTCTTCGTTGGACTCCTCACGCGATGTGCGTGGAGGAGGAGGGAAGAAAATGTGTGTGGGCTTCAGTGAGTCTAGCTATTTTAGTATTGGGCTTGGGACTGGCCCACTAAGATTACTATGGGCTATAGCTGAATCCACTCTTATTTTTTTGTCGACGTTGGATAGCTAAGTGGATTATATTTGTGTTATTCATTCACTTGGTAAATGGTAATTAGTATGTAGATTGAATGATGATCTCTCAATTATTGATCTTGTTTCTGTAAACGTTAACGTTTCGTGCATGTGTTAACATGAAACTGTTTTGTTGTCGATTTAAAGTATATAGTATATATATCGTACTAGAAACCGGATAATGCATGGGAAAGTAAATGATGGGTTTCACATGGTGGGGCTTGTGTCTGAGTCATCAAGATCGGCGCCGTTCGACTTTATGATACCCGACGTCAGGAAATAAAATGGCAAACAAATCAAGATTAGTAATGACGAAGCCCACTTCCACCTTTCAGAAAATGTCTTTTCTTTCTTTATGTGTCCACATCAATCAAAAAACATGTATCAACCTTTTTGGCGTTCGATGTTGTATAGGAGTATAAGTATAACATAGCTTTTTTAAAAAGATATTGAAGAATTTAGGTTTGCTTGGATCAGCCATTTTGCATATGAATTATGAAATTTACTTATAGCCAGAACAGAAATCTAGATTAATCATTTAAACCTGTAGAAAAATTGATATTGTTTTGTCATTCAAAACGTCTTACAGTGAGTGGCCAAGAGAAAACTATGTGCACAGCGATCTCTTGTAGATGATAAAATTCGATTGCTAGTCTTAACCCATATAACGAGTTATTATCCACATGAACAAACCTTTGATGTACTATTTTGTATTTGAAGTCAAAACTAGCTAGAAGACTAATAAACAATATGTATCACATTTACCTCAAAAGATAACCGTGTTTACTTTAGATAGTAAAAAGATAAACAACTTAAGAATGTATGCAATCAGAAAACAAAAGAAAAATAACTTGTTTGTAGAAATGTAGTAATAAGAAAACTAACGGTGAGAAAATGTAAAAAGCATCGTAGATATTTTATCCAAAGAAACGAGCCCTGTTTTGCATTTTTATAAAGAAAATATTATAATTATTCTGCTTAAGTGTCAAAAGATTCATTTCAGGTTTTCTTTTGGGGGAAAAGAAAAAGAGGAACATGTAACATGGTATCCAAAGTCTAATGAAAGGCATATTTTGTGAAAAGCTAAAGTGGTGACACACTTTACACTAAATCCAAGTCATTAGATCTTCAAAAGCTTATATCATGACGACTTCAGCAACATGCACCTCATGATCTCTTCTGCATCTAGCCCAATCACTGTCGTCATACAAGATACATGCACACACATACACATTTATAAGCATATCTATATTAAAGTTGGTGTCTCTCTCGCCATATATATATATAGAGATAAGTGTGCATGGTTTGAGTTAGAAATCGGAAAACGATCAAAATACATAAAACTATAATGGGTGATCTGCAAATCGTGCTGGCATGCGACAAGGTGGAAGCACAGTACGTAGAAATGATGGTGCCTTTATATTCTTACGGCTGCGAGAAGAAAATCAAGAAGGCTCTTTCTCATCTCAAAGGTAATCAATAAGTTTTAGTTAATTTTTATTGATGACTTTCATCATGTAATGTAACGGATATATAGCAAAAAGCTAAATTAGACTATTGTTTATAACGAATAAACAGGAATACATTCAGTGAAAGTAGACTACTACAAACAAAAGGTGACGGTGTGGGGGATTTGCAATAGGCTTGATGTGTTAACGATGGTGAAAAAGAAGCGTAAAGAAGCTCGGTTTTGGAATGTAGAGGAGAATAATCCTGATCCAGAGAGCGTTGATGATTCCATCGCCGTGGAAGAAGACACTATTAAACTTTCGTCAGAATCAGAGAAATCATCGTCGAGATTTTATACGTATTCATCGTCGTCACCGAGGTTCATGAGACCTCATTTGTCACTCATTAGAACCTCTTCCTTCACATGGAAAGCTGTGAAGAAGGTCTTCTCTAGATCTCTTTCCTTTTGAGTCACGTTTTATATATGACATAATAATGCTAGAAGAAATCACTCGTCTCTCGTTGGATCCTTCAATATATCAAAATACTATTATTGTTCATAAAGACTTTTCAAAGAGATTTATATTGACCGGTACTGCGGTACATTCACTTTACTAAGCCATTATAACAATTATATGTAGCTATGAAAATCTGAAAATTGGTTTGGATTTTAAAATAAAAAAAATCAAGTTTATGTTGGCTGAAAAACTCCAAAATGATTTGGGTGGTATATATATGGTACGTAACACCATATGTGTTCGTCGCAATTTCTACTAATTCGTTTTAATTTCAGAAACCTAGATTTTGTTCAATGCATTAAGAAAAATGATTAGCAACTCACAATACAAGTCACTAATCAATAAAAGTTGCAAATGCACCACTAAAAATGTAGCAATACAAATTACAAATTGTTAAGTCATTAAATGCATCACTAAATCTAGCAATAACTTATAAATTAAAATTTATGATATTGATGGTAGGACTGACAGTTTGGTTGTGGTTACTGGTTAGCAGTAATTCGGGATTGGACCGACGAGTTTAAAGAGATTTTTCTTATAAAATTAAATTATGGACATAAAAAAAAAAAAAAAACGTATGACACTTGTACAGCTTTACGACAGTGGACAGTGGAGCTGGTGGATGAAAACGATCGAGACGTTACCAAGTGAAATGAGACTCGAACCTAACTAGTGTGTACTGTGTATATCTAACTTCTAAGTGCAAAGAGAATTATTTCATTTGAAAATGTTCTAGTTCTGTTAGTTTGAAAATGAGATCTGGTTACTACAAAAAGGCCGAGTCTTTCGAGGTCTCTCTCTTCTTCATGTCTCTTCCACTTCACTGAACTCTACAGCGATCTTCTTCTCTTTTCTCGGACAAATCCCTAATTTCTCTTTCAGCTACCAGCGAATGAGAGACAAAAATCATGGTGAGTACACAAGAATCAGCGGAAGAGAAGAAGAAGAAGAAGAAGAAGGAGGGTTCAGATGAAGCCACCCAAGTGATCGATGAGGAAGAAGAAAACGCAAGTCGTATTGAAGAAGATCTCAGCAAGGCTATTCAACTGCTTAAAGAATGTCTCCACACTCTTGGTGCTTAGAAAACCCCAAATGCTTCGTCCTTTTCCACAGTGTGACTCTGTTTCTCTTTCTTTATGCACGTTGCTCTCTATCATTCATGTCAGCTCTGTTAGGTTGTTTCTTCTGTATGTGTCTTTCAAGCGCTTTTCAACAATATGGCTGCCTTTTTGTTAAACACAAGTCAGTCAATTAGCCCTCAACTTGAAGGAAGAGACATAGAAAATATAATGAGATCTTGAGAAAGCAGAAGATCAAACACTTTAAATTGAATATGGAGGAGCTACACTCTTAAAAGATTTGAGACAAATCAACCAAAGTAATGAATGTTCAGTTGCAATAGAGATGGTACTAGTAGTAATTTCATCACATCTTCCCTCTATTTGTGGCTGCTGCTGCTTGTACTCTTCTTTTTCAGCAAATTTCCAAACTTTCGGAGCAAAGGCTTTTTCTTTTTCTGCTGCTGTTCCTTTGAGAGCAGAAGATTTCCAGAATCTTCTCCTTGTTCTGCAGAAGACAAGCCATTGCTCAACTGATCAAAGTTCTCACTTCCTTCTGCTTTCGATTCATCTTCCTCTTCAGCAAAGTCATGCTCTGTCTCTCTCTCTGAAGAACCTTCTCTCTTTTCTCTATGGTAGCCTTCCCAAATCCTGAACTCTCCTTCCATGGAGTCTTTGTCTTTCTCTCCTCTCCCAGCCGCTCCATCTTTCAAATCTTTATCAATGGCTTCCATTGGACTTTCTTGTCCTTGTTGTTCTCCGATTCTGTGGTGAGAAGGATAGGTGGAACCATTTTCTTGTAAAGATTCTACAGCTTTCGGTAGCAAGTCATAGTCTTTTTCGATGACACTGTGCTTCCCATTCTCATCTGGTTTCTCTTGTGTGGAAGAAGCTTTCTCTAACAGCTTTGACGACAGCTCTTCGATCTTCTTAAGCGCGGAAGCTTCCTTGGCCTGCAACTCTGTTTCTTTGTCAAGAAGACTCTCTTTCATCTTTGACAACTCCTCTATCTTCTTTGCCGCTGAAGCTTCCTGCACCTTTAGCTCTTGATTTTCTTGATTGACTCTCTGAAATTCATTCTCCTTCTCAAGCCAACTCTGCTCGAGATGCAACAGCTCATCAATCTTTTTCAGAGATGATGCCTCCTTGACCTTAAGCTCCTCGTTTTCATGGAAGACACTCTCCAACTCCTTCTCTTTATCAAGTAAGCTCTGTTTAAGATTTGTCAACTCTTCAATCTTCTCAACAGATGAGGCAGCTTTGGCCTTGAGCTTCTCGTTTTCGACAATGGCAGTCTTCAGCTCATTTTCTTTATCAGCCAAAATCTGTTTAAGATCAGACAGCTCCTCTATTGTCTTAAGTGATGAAGCCTCTTTGGATTTGAGCTTCTCGTTTTCGACAATGGCAGTCTTCAGCTCATCTTCTTTATCAGCCAAACTTTGTTTCAGATCAGACAACTCCTCCATCGTCTTAAGTGATGAAGCCTCTTTGGATTTGAGCTTCTCGTTTTCGCAAACAACATCCTGTAACTCACTCTCTTTCACGTGCAGGCTCTTACTTAGATGTGATAGCTCTTCAATCTTCTTTTGGGCAAGAGAGTCCTTGGCTTTAAGGTCCTCAATCTCAACGACCATGCCATCAAGCTCATGCTCTTTATCAAGAAGACTTTCTTGCAGCTTCGCTAACTCTTCAATTTTCTTAAGATAAGCAGCTTCCCTTTCTCTAAGCTCTTCGTTTTCACGAGTAGAACTCTGGAGTTTGGTTTCTCTATCAGCCAAGGTTTCATTTACCTTTGACAACTCCTCAATGTTCTTATGATAAGAAGACACCTTCTCTCTCAACTCTTCGTTTTCATGAACAACGGTCTGAACTTTGGCTTCTTTCTCAGCTAATCTTTCGTTCGACAGTGACAACTCCTCAATCTTCTTGATATACACAGCCTCTCTTTCTTTGAGCACCTCAGTTTCTTGAACAGAGCTCTGCAGTTTGGTTTTTTTATCAGCCAATCTCTCATTCACTGCTGACAAATCTTCAATCTTCTTCAGACAATCAAGCTCCCTTCTTCTAAGCTCCTCAGCTTCTTGAACAACGCTCAACAGTTTGGTTTCCTTCTCGACCAAGCTCTCTTTCGCTGCTGACAACTCTTCAATCTTCTTGAGATAATCAATCTCCTTCTCTCTGAGCTCCTCTGCTTCTTGAATAACGCTTTGCAGTTTTGCTTCTTTATCCTTTAAGCTTTCATTCACCTTTGACAACTCATCTATTTTTTCTAGAGAAGAAACTTCCATTTCTTTGAGTTTTATGCTTTCTGCAGCAGCGTTCTTTAGCTCTTCTTCTTTCTTTAACAAGCTTTCTTTTAGTTTCACGCTTTCAGATTTCACTTCTCCAACTCTCTCCTGCAAATTCTTAACCTCCTCCTCAAGTTCCTTGATATCCTTTTTCGTTTTGGCTTCTTCTTCTTTTGCTTCACGCGCCTCAGTTTCCTTAAGGTTAAGCAAACTCTCCACTTTGCGAAGCTCTTCCTGCACAGAGAGCTTTTCATCTTCAGATTTCTTCACAGAAACTGTCAAATGAAGTTCTCGCTGTTCCCACTCAGTCTTCGAAGCTACAACCTCATTCTGAGTGTCTTCTAAACTACTCTTCAGGCTAGCAATTTCCTCTCTAGCATCTTCAAGCATTTTTCCATACTTCTCATTCGTCTCCTTCTCAGCCAACTCTAAACTTTCAATCTGAGATCCACAACGTTCCAGCTCCGCTTGACATGTCAAGAGCTTCTCCTGAGCTTCCTTTGCTTCCTTAGACACTTCCTGCAAATCCAGACTCAAGCTCTCCATAGCTTTCTTGCTTTTCTCTTCTTCCTTCTTACAGTTTTCCAGCTCTGTCGCAAGTTCCTTCTTTTCATTCAATAGGTCCTGAGTATGCGCTGTTGCAGTCTTTTCATTCTGCAAAGCTTTAACCTTTTCCTCTTGAGCGGTTTCAAGATCAGATTTTACCGACTCAACAAGCTTTTCAAGCTTAGAAGACTCTTCCTTTAAAATGAAAACTTGCCGTTGGGACTCCTCAAGATCTTTCTCCTGCTTTCCACTTGCTGTCACCAGCGACTCAATCTTTTCTTTTAGCGCAGCATTATCCAACTCTGCCTTATGCAGCGCATGACTGTTATCCTCCAGCTGCTTCACAGCTGACTCTAGAGACTGTAAAGCAGATGTCTTCAACTTATTTGATTCCTCAGCTTGTTTCTCAAGCTTGTCAACCTCCTTCTTCAACTCCTCTGCTAAGCTATTAGCACAAGACTCAATCATTTTAGCAGCTTCAAGATCAACATGGAGCTGTTCGATGGACTCTTCTTGACTCTTCAGCTTATTTTCAAGGATGCTAACTTTCTCAAGCTTCTCTGTCAACATCTCAACTTCAGATTTCAGTTTGGACACAACCTCATCGCCTTCATTAGCCTTCTTCTCTTCCTCTGAGCCAATCAGTGCCTTCAACTGGCTTAACTCAGAAGAAAGATTCTCCGCCTTCTCAGCTTGAATCTCAGCAATCTTTGTCGCTTCCTCAGCATGACTCAACGCCTTGTTTTTAGCATCAGCAGTCATAGCCAGCTCTTGTTTGATCCTGTGGAGCTCTTCAGTGGTAGAGAGAAGAGCTGAGATGTCCAAAGCATGCTGGCTTCTAACAGACTCAACCTCTTTCTTCCAAGAGCTTTCCTTTTCGTTAACCGCTTCGATCCCCGCCTGCTCTAACTCAACCGCACGGAATTTCTCGATCTCTGAACTCTCCACAGCACGCTGCTGAGCTGCCAAAGCTTCTTGAAGTTTCTCATTGGCTTCTTGGTTCAGTTTCTCAGCTCCTTTAAGATCATCAAGAGCTTTAGCTTTATCTTTCTTGAGCACTGCTATTTGCTCGTTAGCTTTCTTTAAATCTTCTTGAATCTGATTCAGTTGAGCTTGTAGCTCAGAAGATACCTTCCCTAACCGTGATTGCGATTTCTGAAATGCCAAAAAAAGAAAACAAAATGATTGATTAATAAAAAAACAAGAGAAGGTTCAAGTTTATCATCAAATGGATTGAGTTTTGTTTTTACTACTTGCCTCCGGTGGAGTAGGGACTCTTGCAGTCCGGCGATCAGGAGAAGGCTTGGAGTTAACACTTTGTGGGGAACGGTCTAGTGAGAGACGAGTGCCGTGCACCGGGGATGGTGAGCTGCCGTCGGATTTAGTCCCTGTTGGTTTGCTCACTCTAGATGGTGGTGGTGGAGATGGTTTGCTCCGAGGAGTCTCCATCAAACCAGTTCTGCATTATCACAAAGGTCAAGTACAAAATGTCACAATCACATCAATGAGCAATAATGAACGAAACAAAGAGAGGACCACTATCTCCATTTTCTGTGAATCTGTGGATCTAACTCCATATTCAAGTTAAACTAATTTGCACTGAAATCTCAAAATTAGATTGCTAAGAATAGGATCCATCTCAGTTTAAAGATCTAGTTATGAATAATCAGATTCACATGTAGGTACTTCAATTATATCCAAAAACACATTTTTCTACAGTACATCGGATGATCAAACAAGTGAAAAAACATGTTTATATTTGCAGAATTTCCGGAAAAGTGTTGCAGTGACCAAAATCGGAAGATAAAGACTTAAAAGACAGATAAGTCTACAGGTGACTTAAGCTTCTGCAAGATCCAAACCAAAATTTGTGAAATTCAGATAAAGTAACAAAATTTTAATTCAACAAAAAAAAACAGATCACTGAGTAATTTCAGCAGAGAAAACAAAGATGCACAGAGTAAGTGACCCACAACTACATTTCCGACAAAGAAAACAGAAGTCAGCATCTCAGATCCAATTGTCTTCCAAGTTAAACTAGTTTGGTTCTAGAATCAAAAGAGTTAAAAATAGAAAGAAAGAAGAAGAAAAAAACCCCCACTTGGTTCTGGACGCCATTGTTGCAACAGGAGAGAACCTTCAAAGGAAGGAGACGATAGAATTGGAAACCCAGAAAAAGCGACAGAGCAGAGGAATCAGGAGAAAATTAATAAAGTGCCGAGAAATGCTGGCCGCTAAATCTCCGGCATTGCAATGGGAGAGGAAACAGAAACCCAGATCGATCCTGGTCGCTTCTTCACTGGGTCGGATTGCTTCTCCACAAAGTCTTGAACTTTTTAGCAAAAACAAAAGAGAGAGTAGAAAATAATTGGTAATGGGTTATGGTGTTCCCAGAGTGGTCACCCTCTCTCTCTCTCTCTCTCTCTCTCTCTCTCTCTCGTCTTTTTCTTTCATTTTCCCGGTTTCATTTTTTCAATTAACAAAAAGAAGAAATACGTGGGATGTGAAATTACGGAAATGACCATGGGTTAAAGTTGTGCATTGCCTGCATTAAAGGGAATGAATAACAATAATAATCATGATAACAATAAAGCGGTGCGTGTGGACCAAACAAATATGAATGGACGTTGCTCATAATGTTGGGTAGAGAAGGAAAAATCTCATATCTCCAACGATCTGATTTGCACATCTTAAGATCCATTTTGGGTCATGTGGACTGCATGTGCCTTTCACTCATTTATTTTATTTCTCAATAATTCAATCATACAACTCTTATATTCTCAAATCACCAATTTTCTATCCTTATTAAAATCTGCAAAACTGTATTAAACATAGATTTAATGTGTGAAATGTTGGTATTTTATGCTTATTACATAATGGATCTGGTTTGATAATGGTTAGTTAGATCTAGAGTCAAACAATAATGGTTAGATGTATTCTGAAAATTAGTAAAACAATGTATGACAGCTTAAAATATCCTTGATTCGATTTCTTCTGTGACTTATGTCGACATATTTGTTAGGGAAGAAATTTTCTTCGTTTATACAGATTTTTTAGTAATAATAAAAACACTACATACTGGAAACTGATAATTTTTCGTAAAGAATGGGGATACGTTTTCAAATATCCGTGTGAGCAGTGCTCCTAAAAGTAATATTTATGAAATATGATCGGTACTACTATAGACTATAGAGTCTATAGTTCAACATTAATTTCTTGTCATCATAGGTGTGTTTGATTCTGTTTGCACCTATCTATACTTTTTGTAAAGTTATTTAGTGTGACTGAAAAATACATTTTTTTTTTAAATAATCATGATGAGAGCACACAATGAAGTGAGTAACAATAAAATTAAATCAAAGTCCTATCTACAATTATCATTAATCATTATAATTTGGAACTTAGATGGCACGTTAAGTTTTCGTTCCTGAGAGTTTTATTCGTTTATTTTATCATCTCTTGGGTGAGATTTCTCTTTCATATGTAGTCAATTGTCGATCAGCTTTGCATGCAATGGAAATATTCATTACAGATCACAAGGAAGGTGTAGAAAGAATACCATATGGTCATTTGTTCTTCAATACCATACGAGGACACTTGTTTCTACAATTTGCTCAAACTTTAATTTGTTAAAGAAACACAATTTAGCATCCAAGAAGAACCAACGGTCTCTTCTACAATCTTGTTCTAGAATTAGATGGGAGAATTAGATGGGATGAGACATGGAAACAGAAAAGATTTTGATTTATTAAGAACAAGTACGAAGAAGCTGGGCCTATAGCGAATGAGAAAATAGGCCTTTTAACAGATAATAGGCCCAGCCCATTTAGTCTGAAATTAAGCAAACATTAGCATTTTGTCCCACATCTAAGAAGATGTACAGTTTATATAGCGTTGGAGTGACTAAGATGATTGTCCCTTCGGGGCACATCCGATAAAATTGGAACGATACAGAGAAGATTAGCATGGCCCCTGCGCAAGGATGACACGCACAAATCGAGAAATGGTCCAAAATTTTTTTGCCAAAAATTTTCCAAATCGATTTCTTCTTCTTCTGGATCCAGTTCCTCGTTCATTTTGTGAACCATACCTGCATTTCTGGAGGACTTCTCTTTCTTAGAGATTTTGCTTTAGCTTATTAATCTGATTTCGATGGAAAGAATTACTAAAGCAGTCTAATCTGTTCGATATTGCTGCAACATTGTTGCAGTTCCGGAAAGAAGCTCAAAGCCACTTTCTGCTTCTTTTGAGATTCCGGCGACCTTTGCGTATTCTGTTAATCAATTACTGGTAATGAAGCATGATTTCGGTTAGTTTATCGGTTTGAGTAAGTAAACCGTTCGATCTGAATCAGGTAGCTAATAAATATCCCAAATCAGAAAAATCAAGTTTCCGAGCTTTGCAAGAATGTAAACAAATTCAAAGAAGTTTCAAACTTTGTCGGAAACATGTGTACATATATATAGTGAGAACAGACTATATACGAAAATGTTACATACAAATATTCCCAATGTTTCCACTAAATGGAAAAGTGATTAACAAGTCAATTGCAAAAGCACTACTACATGAAAACAAAGAATGAATAAAAAAAGCTAGAGAGATTTGATGATCAAGAGATTCAAGACCCAACATCGGTTCGAACACCAGAACTGTTGAGACGGAAGGCATGTGACCGAGCCAGCTCAACCGCGTCCTGAACTCTAAGCCTGGTTCCTTGTTGACCAACCACAGTGGCAGCAATTGTAGCAGCCAAATCACCCATTCCTTTCAAGTCAGAGACACCTCTCAAGATACCGTATAAGATCCCTGAAGCGTATGCATCTCCAGCACCACACGTGTCGACGGGAACGCATGGGGAAGGAGGAATGTATATGGCCTCTCCTTTTACTCCAATGTAAGACCCGTTGATTCCATCCGTCACCGAAACAAACGGAACAAAGTGGCTCAAGTACCTCGTCGCTGAAATCGGGCTTTCCTCTGCGGAAAAGTGACAGAACGCTCTTGCTTCATCGCTGTTTGCAAATATAATATCCGCATAGTTGCCCACAATGTCCCTGAATTAACACAAAAAACAATGAGTATTCGCATTCTCCTTTTCTCCCAAAGAAACAAACATATGGAGACAACAAGATTGACACAAGCAAACGATTAAAGTTTTGATGTTTTCAGGTTAAGAGATTCTGGATGAAGCATCAAAGCTACAAAAGCTAATCACTCTGCTCTTAAGAACACTCCGCTTGATGGATTGTAAATAGCAAATAGACGCAAGAATGGATTTAAGCAATGGGAGCAAAGAAAACTCACCAGAAATCATCATAATGCCTCTCTATGCAAGACACATCTGATGCAGTCACAGCAACAAGTGCTCCATTTCTGTGGGCTTCTTCGCAGGCTTTTGTAATGGTCCTAATAGTATCAGGAAGCTCAAACAAATAGCCTTCCACAACAAAGACATTTGTCTTTGATATCAAACTAGCCAAACAAGAATCATAATTAACGACAGAAGATGTTCCCTGAAATTTACACATCAAAATTTGGTTTGTTACTTACTAGCAAAAGCATTCTGAAATAACATCTCTACGACTTGCTTCACCATATTAGCCTCTAACAACTAACTCATGAGGAAACATTTGCTGATATCAGAAACCATACCTGATACGCAAGCATAGTACGTTGAGCATCAGGAGTTGTGAGAACTATCACTGTCCCTGTTGTTCCATCCTTGATCGGAGCAGAAAGGAAATTTACATTTGCTCGACGTAGTTTAGTCCTATACAAAAAACATACCATGGACTGCCATTGTGAGTAAATCAAATCAAACTAAACCATGTACAAAGAGCAAAGCTTTATATTAGTCAAGACAGTTTTGTACCTGTAAAAGCTACCAAGAGGGTCACCTGCAATACTTCCTGCCATAGCCACATTCAAAGGCCTGTCACCGATAGATTGGCAACCTAATCTTGCCAAAGCAACCAGAGTATTCGACAATGACCCTCCAGCTGCTGCCTTGTAGCTGCAGCCATCCATTGCTTGTAACACTTTCCCTCTCTCCTCGTGATTTATCAGTTTCCTCGTTCCCTTTTCTAAGTCTAGCTTTTGCAGAAACTCATCATCCACAACTCCAGAGAAATCTACCTAAAACGTAAGAAGATAATCATCAGATGGTAATGAGATTGAAGGGCCATTGGCTTAATTTGATAGGCAGAAAATAAAAAAAACTCACCATGGCTTGGCCGAGACCCAAAACATCCCATCTCTCAGGGGAAGAAGAAGAGGTATTAACATGACCTTGTTCTATCAATTCCTCGTCGTCTTCGTCTTGATTTCCGATTCTCTCGATTTCGCCTTCATCCAAATCATCCAATCCTCCTCCGCCGCCATCGTTCCTAGTAGCTGCAGAAACCATGAGACCCAATTGCCTCTTTTCCGCCATCCTCAAGTTCCCCGAGCTTCTGAAACCGCCCAAAATCGAGGTCGCGGTTCTGCTTCCAAGGGTTCTTTTGGATAGATATAAAGAGTAGAGAGGAGAGAGAGAGGAGGAGGCATTATTAGAAGCGGTAAAGGCGGAGAGAGTGAAGGAAAGAGAGGCAGAGGGAGGAATTGGAGAGAGGAGAGAAAGGGCCATGGAAATATTTATAAATATACACGGAGCTTAAGGTTTTTCTCTTTACGTTGTTGGGATGAAGAGGGGATGAAGAGAGCTCACATCTCCATCCGAAAACCGAAAGGAGGAAGGAAGACCAGGAAAAAATGGTTTCTGCAAGCTGAGAAGAGACGGCTTTGAGAGGATAAAATGAACTTTCTACGCTTTGTTTTATAATAATCTTTTTTAACTACTAATCGTATTTACGTCAGTGATTAAAGATTCAATGGAAAAATTAAGAATAAACTCTATTTTTTTTGTATATGATTTGACTATTCAAGCTAAAAAAATTCAGAATGAGCATGCCGACGCAAAGCGACAATTTTTTTTTTGTCTACTTCTAAAATTATATGCCTATTTATAAATCTTTTATATTTTTGGCACCTCTGTTTTAAGAACTAAAAAACTTTACCAAAACCTTGAAAGGTGTTCGAAGGGTTTAAGAGGTAAAAAAGTTCAGATCCTTGAACTCAACACTCAACAGACGTTGTTAGACAAACCTGGGGCCATATGTTTATCATCTGACACTAACAATTTAAGCTAATCCTTTAAAAAGTTCATTATTCTCAATCTTTAAAATTTTCAGTTTTCATTTTTGTACCACTCATTTTTATGTCTCCTTATCTATTTCCGGTTAGATACCATTTATAGAGAGAATAAAACAAAGGAAAATAAGCTCTTCCCGCGGCAAACTCTACAATAACTACTTTCCTTTACACCAAAACGTTCAAAAAGCGAGAGATAAGGCAAAAAAAAACAGAGTCATTACACTCGATTACCAAAGCTGAAGCCAGAAAAGAAAAAGAACCTGAAAATCTCCATCTCCAGAGTGAGACTCCAAAGATCTTAACACATAGATTCATTTTCTTGAAAAAAAAAGGAAAAGAACCCAAAATAAAAAAAAACCAAAATCAGAAAAAACAAGAAGAAGAGATTCAAGAATGCACAATACCCTAACTCTTACCACTACAATAACTTTGGAAGCTGTGAATCCAATCTCTGCTGCAACTCTTTGACCTTCTGTGAAAGCTCAATCTTCTGCTCCTTGTAGCTTCTAAGTAGATACTCTTTCCCATCTATCACCTCTTTAAGCTCATCCACTTCCTTTCTTAGCATCTCTATTCTTTCTCCATCCTTTGATCCCTTTTCCGGCGACTCATAGTTGTTCTCGCTGTCCATAAACCCGTTCACATGGCCACTCCAAGGTGCAACAGGAGATGTCTTGCCGTTGCTACCGTTGCATCCCACGCTGTGATCCGCGATCGCTTTTCTCAGTCTCTGAACTTCTCTTTCTGATTCAAACAGATCTCTGTTCATCGCGTCTAGCTGCGCCTGGAGATGGCTAGAGTGTGCCGTCTGCGCGTTAAACGAGTTCTGCTGCTCTGTTATCTGTTCCTGCATTTCAAGTATCATGTCGTCGCGTCTCTTCAGCTGCTGCCTCAGTTTCTGTATTACTTCTCGTTTGCTGAAGATGTCTGAGCTGGTTTCAGACACGCAAGGAGAATCCGAGCAGGTCGAATGGTGATTGTACGGTCTCGGGGGCAGTTCCAGGCGATCAGGAGAAGATGTCCACATGACTCCATTCTCTTTGCTATATGATGGAGCAGGTACTGTCACAAGAGGCAGTGAAGTTTCAGATGCGGATACCATTTCCTCGTTTGTCACCTCTTTTCCCTCCACATTCTCAGTTCCTATATCAAAGAAGAAGAAAATGTCAAAGTCTGATAAGAATAACACAAGACTGACTGCTCTTCGGCTACATGGACAGATGAAAGGGATTCAGAGGTTTTTCAAAAAAAAAGAGAAAGCATTCGAAACTCGGTAACAAATCTTGTAACTATGCTTCAACCGGTTTTTGGAAGATTACAAGGCTTGTAACTACAATATATTAAGCAGACACTAGAAACATATGTTCTCTAAATGGCCTTCAAACACATCAATTAGGTAAGAGCATAGAGGCTAGAATAGAGGCTAGAACTAGAGCAGCAACATCTACACATTCTTCCAACGAAATTTTAATATATCTCACACATTATTTTCACTTCACATGTTGTTAAAAGGAAACCAAGTAAGAGATGATGCGAGGCTAAGACACAAGCATAAGTTGTTTAGTGGCTTATACACATACGTATGAGAGTCTTCATCTGATAATAGTAAAAAGGGAAGTTACAAAGTCACACCTGGAACGGAGCGGAAGCAACAGTAATCATTATTATGCACACAGGAAGATGCGTTGGAGTGCAAGCAACAACCTATTGGTTTCTGCCTCTCAGATGTTCCATTAGCTGCAGAACAAACCTTCATTAAGAGATAAAAAACTACAACCTTATAAAACATTTTAAGCAAAACAGCGATTTAGTAAGTAACCTTTTAATCCAGTAGAGCCATTCGATTGAGATTTCGAATCAAGCGACTGCTTCAGCTTGTACCCAAAGCGAATGGACAATGTGCTCAACAATGCACCACCTGCAATTAGGATCCAGTTTGGCCCTTCACCACTAAATTTCTCAGCTCTCTGATGCTTAGAAATGCCACCATTTCTTCGTGCACTCATCGTAAGGGAAAGTCAAAACGTCTCTATCATCCAAACATAACCTGCATTGACCGGATGCAAGAATATATCATCGTCAATCATAATAACAAAATTGGGAATGTTTCATCAGAAAAAGACTAGAATCCTGATCTACAGTCAACAAAAACCACCGGTAAACAGTTTTAAAGCCACAAAACTCTTAAGAAACACACCATAGATTTTAGAATTCACGATAAAAATTGAGTAAAACAAACAATAAGGATCTAACAAGATGATCAATTTCCCTCAGTCAAACAGACTCAGTTGAGAAAGTATACGAATCAATGGAACCAACTGGTAACAGTCTACCTCTAAAATCAAACGCAACAAAAATTTCGAGCTCCATGAAGAGTAATCAAATAGTCGACGCCATGAGATTTGATTAGAAACCAGGAGTAAGTCTCCACTATCCAGAAACAGCTAATAGACAGGTAGATACTTGACTTGAACATGAAGCAAATGAAAATGAAACTATTCTCCAACTTTTTTGAATAGATGCCATTAATTGCAAACCCAAACCTCAATCAACACAACAATCGCAATCAGAAGGAGAGAAATTAAGCTAGGGACCATCCACAAACCCGATGAACAATTTCGGAAAACCAAAACCGCTGAAAAATTGAGTGAGCTAAGCTAAGTGTAAAGAGGGAGAATAGTCGCAATAGAAACCTCATAAGAAAAACGAGCATTACGGCTCCATAATTTCACTTTCGAGACAGAAAAATCTATCCCGCTTGACTTTTCAATCTTCGCAGTTTGTAGAATCTAACGTCGCTCTCAGAGAAATCGTAGAGAAATAAGATTCCGTGAAGAATCTGAACCTCGGCCGATGGTATGGTAAAAGTCGACTGTAAAACCCAGAGGGAGAGAGAGAGAGGGAAGAGGAAGCGAGGTGGAGGAGGAAGAGGTTGAAGAAACGGCGGCCACAACACTCCGTTCCTTCTTCCTCCTTTACACTGTTAATTGATATATTAAATAAATATTAAAATTAGAATGAAAAATTAAAATCTCCGCACGCTTACACCACGTCCCATGGATGACGCTCACAGTAGTTGGGAAATTCAGCTTAAACAATTTTTGATTCCTCTTCAAAGTTGAATTTTGTGTTTAATTCTGCTACTTCTGTTGATTACTTGATTATTTTAATTGTGGAATACAACCAATAAAACTGCCAGCAAGATATATGGTCGATATCGATCTATACCATTCACGTGCGAAAGTTATGATACATTTCTCTAAATTAGCTGGTCTGTCTATTCCCTAACGATTCATTTCCTTACGAATTTCAAAACATAACCGAAATAAAGTGGGTTGATATATTTGTCTATAAATGTACAACAAACAAGCAAGGAAAGTACTTGGGGAAACAAAAAAAAAAGTGTGCCCACAATCTGAAAAAAGCAACCAACTTCAAGAGTTTGCAGATTTTCAATATTCACTTGACTAAGATAAAACAAAGGATAGATAAATCAGAATTGACACAAGATATTCAAAAGTCGGAGCTTAAAACCCAAAACGATGAAGCCAGAAGAGAAGTTTCCTTAGAGAGACAAGAATCCAAACTTTCTTGGACAAAGATAGATTCACAATTGTTTCTCAAGAAAAGGAAAAAGAAGAGTAGCAAGAATGCACAATGGCCTAACCTTTCCACACTACAAAATGTTTGGGAGCTGTAAATCCAGTCTCTGCTGCAGCTCTATGACCTTCTGTGAAAGCTCAACTTTCTGTTCCTTATAGCTCCTAAGTAAATACTCTTTCCCATCTATCACTTCTTTAAGCTCACCAACTTCCTTTCTCAACATCTCTATTCTTTCTCCATCCTTTAATCCCTTCTCCGATGACTCATAGTTGCTTTCGCTGTCCATAAACCCGTTCGCATCCCCATTCCAACCGTTGCTACCTGCGTGTCCAACGCAGTGATCAGCGATTGCCTTTCTAAGCCTCTGAACTTCTCTCTCTGATTCAAAAAGATCCCTGTTTGTTGCGTCTAGCTGCGTTTGGAGATGGCTAGAGTGTGCCACCTGCGCGTTAAGCGAGCTTTGCGACTCGAGAATCTGTTCCTGCATTTCAACTATCATCTCGTCGCGTCTCTTCAGCTGCTGCCTCAGTTTCTGTATCACTTCTCGCTTGCTGAAGATGTCTGAGCCTGATTCAGATACACAAGGAGAATCTGAGCAGGTTGATTGGTGATGGTATGGTTTCATTGGCACTTCCAGGTGATCAAGAGAAGATCCCCACATGACTCCATTCTCTTTGCTAAATGATGGAGCCGTAACCGTCACAAGAGGCAGCGAGTTACTGGAATCCACCATTTGCTCGTTTGTAGTATGGTTTCCCTCCACATTCTCAGTTCCTGAATATATAAAAAAAAAAAAACAAGCCAACTCTGAGTAAGTCTACACAATACTTTTCTGGAGAAGGAGAGGAATTCAAAAAGAAAGCAGAATTTCAGTTCCAGATACAAGTAGCTACGTATATATGGACCCTGATTGGGCTACAAAGACATCACTATTCAAGATACTAGAGGCTACAAAATTGTAAGAACCAGTCTATATTCTTTCAACTAGTTTACTATAGAAAACTCAGTAAGAGACTCTGTGAAGTCAAGATAAGTATAAGACACATAAACTCTCACCGGGAGTGCAGTGGAAGCAACAATCATTGTTCCTTTCACAGGGAGATGCGTTAGAATGCAAGCAGCATCCTCGAGATCTTCCTCTGTCAGATGTTCCATTGGCTGCACAATAACCATCCAATAAGATAGAGTCTACAAACGAATCTAAGGAAATGTAAGCAGTGAACTGATAAGTACGTACGTTTTGATCCACCAGGTTTTGAGTCATTTGACTGCTTTAATTTGTATCCAAAGCGGATGGACAAAGTGCTCAACAAGGCCCCTCCTGCAATTAGGATCCAGTTTGGCCCTTCACCACGGATATTATCAACCCGCTGATGTCTGGAGATACCATTTCTTCGTGTACTCATTGTAGGAGAAAGTCAAGTGTCTCTCAATCATCCAAGCTTGACCTGCAACATACCAAATGTAAAAAATCTATCATCAGATAAAACAAGAATCTTAAGTCCACTCAACAGTTTTGCATAGCATGAAGGCAAACAAACCACAAGCTTCCTGTTAAGAAATCCACCAAAATTCCATAAATCTAATGTTTTAAAACACTCAATAGGAAGTCACGGTCTCATAAAAAGGTGGACAATTACAAGAAAACACACTGAGAAACTGGAGGAAAATAGATGAAAAGCATACAATGGAAGAGACTAGTCGAATTATAGCTTCTATATCATGCAAATTAGTTTCTGTAGAAGCCATCACTGCTTGTTATTTGACGAAAACATGAATCAATTGAGAAATACCATATTAATCTTAACCAAACAAAAAACGGGGGAAAAATAGTAATCAACTGGAGACCACAGAGGATTAACAAAATACTGAAGAGTGATTTTTCAAAACACCAACAGTGAAGAGAAATGAAAAATCGCCCCAAAAAACGACGACGGTACTTATCGTCGGTACACGAACCTCATCGGAATGGGTAATAATAGAATACTGCAGTGCCGGTTTTCAAACCCCCGAAATTAGGAATTCTACGTCATAGCGACGAACTAGATCCAGACTAATCAAAGTAAAGTTTCTACAGTGGAACGGAAACAATTACGATTAAGAGGGACACAGAAGAAGCTTACCTGGGAGTTTCACAGACGGAACGCGGCGCAGTGCGGGGAAGTATGACTTAACGCCGTTGAAGCCTTTTTTCACCAGCCGTGAAGCGCGAAATGAAATAAAAAAAACATTTGTTGTCGACCATCGTTTTATTTCTCGAAATACAATAACAAGGACTTTTTTGCGACAACTGTTTATATTTTTCTGTTAAACTTGACAACTAATTAACACTGTTGAAGCCTTTTTGTGATTTTGTTTTACGTATGCAAGTGTCAGTGAATGCGATTAAGAGATGAGGTAAATATAGGACCAAGACTACGACAAAAAAGAATAGTTAGTTGTTCACAGTACTCGAATTGATAAATTGTTTACAATGAGAGAACTTGAAGTTGCAGCTTTAGCTTGTTATCATTATTAGAGAATGTACAAATTTGTTCTAAACTGTGTTACGAACGTTGCGTATTGTAGACTTGTGTATATCTCTCTATCGTCCAAACTTTTTATGAACTAAAATCCGGATTGAACCAGATACAATGTGACTTAGTGAGAGTGAAGTGTGAACATGTATATACAAACATAAGCAGATATTGATAGCTTACCAACTTCTGCTACAAAAATTATCTCCCTCACACACACAAAAAGGTCATTTCAGTCAATGCCTCATGAAATCATTGTAGCCACTACTCTTTTTCTTTTTAAAGTACTGCATCAAAATAAGATAATATAATATTAAAGCATGGCAAAAGCAGCGAGAAAACTCTTTATATAAATCTCATTTTGGTTACAACTAATCATACACACGAGGAAGGTAAACAACTGAAGCAAGAAAATGTACATAAGTCAGTGCTAGGCTTAAGTTTTTTCATGTAGACCAAAATTTAACCAAACTCTCCGTGCAAGGGAACTTACAGATGCTTGCTTGTTTGTTTAGTCAATGGGGTGCTTATCAATTTGACGAGATGTGTAGTGCGCAGAAAGCAAAAGCAGAGAGAGAAAAGCGCTTGCCACGAAGATTGCATCAAACCATCGATGATAGAAATCAAACTGAATATCTCCGCCTAATACATCTGTTATTATCCCTCTGTGCCAACAAAAAACAAACAGCTTTTGAGTAATAATCCACTTTCCAACGCAGTCTGAAAGATAGAAACTATCAAGTATTCTAGTACGGAAGAAAGATAATACCTGTACTCATTTCTCAAGCTTTTTCTTATAAGAAGAATGGAAGACAAAAAGTACATTCCCATGATTTCGGATAGGAAAAGCACAACATTGCTTGAAGACCCACTTCCTACTCTCGACACTGCAAAGAAGAACTGTACAATCGAAGAAACCCCCAAGTCATTCATCAAATCTTATCATAGCATTGAAAGCAAAAGATTTCAGTATGTTGTGAGTTATGTTTCATGAAAATGTAATATCACCTTCATCAGATTGGTCAAGAATCCCCTCACTGATATCACGATCAATATCCCAATAAATAACAGCGAGATGTACTGAAAAAAAAAAATAATGAAAAAGACAGAATCAGAACGAAGCTGCACTATCCTGGGCAGCCAATAGACTCATAAGGTGATTTGAGAACCATATAAACACTTATTCAAGATAAAAAGGTCATCTTTTATAGCAAGATCTGAGAAAAAAAAAAAAAAATCCTTTACTTTTCATCTGGAATACGCGTTGAAAGGAGAAAGAATATCAACAAGCCTAGTTGCATTTCATTGGCTTTACTACTCCATACATAACAAAAACAAAAATTCAAGCAAACCTGTGAGAGCAATGCCGCATCTACTCCTATATCAAAGAATTGCAAGAATATGCTGATCATCATCGTGACAGGATCTTTCGAGCCCGCCTGTAAACAAGCTGATTACTAATCCATATCTTAATTCTTAAATAAGTAAAAAATGATGATAACGATGCAAGTATTCATCATAAAGTTCATAATATAAAGTGAGCATGGGAATACCTCCTTGAAAACTACACTTTGTAGAGACTGCACATAAAACAAAGAAAAAAACAGAGAAGTTAGAAATAATGGTTCACAGTTACAATTGAGAAAACATTTAACAAAAGATATCAAAGATGCCGTTGTTACACACAAGCAGAACAGCTTAACACAGTCTTGCAATACTAGGATAGCATAGAGTTAGAAATACTGAAGGTTAGCACCTCACATAAAGACAACAAAAGTTACCTTTAACATCTTATACACACAGTAAATGGAACACGCATAGCCAAGTACGTTCTGTACATGACCCTTCCAAGTTCGAGAAAAAGCTGCAGCATCCTGCAAATGAAATAAAGTAAGATAAGTGCTTAACTGCTTATGAATGTTTATATAACAACTTTGCAAGACCACCAAGTAATAACCAAAATAATAGATAGGTTAGCAAGATGTCATAACCATGCCAATGTGTAGAATTTGGTAGTTATAATAAAACTAGTGGCACAGTGCTAAAGGAACCTTTGCTTGGCGGAGTTCATAAATTTCCAAAAAAAGCTGCTTTGACAGCTCTTCCAAACCATCTACCTCCGCCTCCATTAGTTTTATATCTGCCAAAAAAAAAAAAAAAAAAAAAAAAAAAAAAAAAAAAAAAAATCATCATTGCACATTCCTATGAAGATAATTGTGTAGCCACACTGCATATAAAACTAAAACATACAAACTGACCTTGCTCCTTTTGGTCATCTTGAACCGACCGCACAACAGTCCCAACAAATCTTCTAAAGAAAGATTTACCCTTGTGAAGCTGGAAGCAAAAGCACCAGACGATTAGTTCCCAAGATCATTTCAGAATTTGCATAAAAAGTAGCATGAAGCATGATAAATGATCACCATGCATGCTACAAAATACTTCTCAGTCTGTTTTTACAAACCTAATGTTAGAAAATTGTCTCTATGGTATTTTGACTGATGCATGGATAAGGAAGTGTTATGTTACAAAATTCATTTAAGAGTCTGAAGAGCACTTTGCCATAGAAGTACAATAAAGCACAGATCTGTCAAGAATCCTAACCCAATACAGAATGGTAAAGAATATGTAACTTTAATGTATAACTATATATGCTAAAATAGAAGACGGAAACATACTTCTTCTGATACTTGATTTCTTTCCACTTCCACCTGACATAAAATAATTTTCTTCTTCTTCGCAATACAACTCTCAATTGATTGCATCAATTGCCGTTCCAACGATTTTATTTCAGATGCTTCAATCTCCCTATATATTTCCACAGAGAAAGAGATAGGAAAACATGCTGTTAGATCACAAATTCTCTAATACAGATGCTCTTCTGTTTAAGTTTCCAAAGATGTGCAGCTATCAAGGTATCTTTTGCTTCCTAATTTTTACTCTTAATTCCAAATTTTTCCTGTCTCCTCTGGGAAGGCAATAAGTGACAATCAACGTCTGCAGTGCTAATTATGTATATCAAACTGTTCACCCCGGTTAACGGTGTCACTAGAGGAACAAAATACTCTTTTGATAGCCAATAAAAACTAAACAGCAAAACCAACAAGAATAAAGCACAAGCTAGAAGACAAAGATATAACGACAACTATATATATATAGCCGCTGAGAAGAAAACTTGAATATTATAGGGAGATACCTAATGAAGAGCGATATATAACTGTATGGCAAATTTACAGCTCCAAAACCGGATAAAACTGCCATGAGGGTAACACCAATGACCCCGATTCTGCTGACGAGTTGAGGCATTGAGAAAAAACCTTTCAAGATAAAGCATGTCTAAGTCAACAAGTCCAAACAAGCGGTGGCAAGATCTTAAGCATCCAAAACAAAAGAACCTAGATCGTTTGTATATATAAAAGCATAAAGAGGCAGAATGTCATGATGTTAGATCTCATACAGCGCTGAAGGGAAAGGCGGAGTAGATAAACTCGAAGAGGGTACCTTTGTCTTGTGAAGGCATAGGAAAATGAATTCCCATGCGCCAGAAAGCATAAAGGAACGCTGTCAAGAATAACAAGGCCCCAACAGCAGCACGTTCCCTTCTCACACCTGAAATGACAGTTTAAGTAATGCTTATAAACTTCTACCTAATATCGGAAGGAGAAGATCAATCAATAGCACATAAAAATTAGAAACTGGGATAGGAAAAAGGCTTACCAGTATTGCGAAGCATCAAATAGCAATGATAATATGGTAACATGAAAACAAGGAGCACTATCAAACAAAAGAGATCCACCTTCCAGTTTATCATCCGTGCCCTGCAAAGCAAAATTCAACTCGATAAAATTCAAAATTCCAAGGCTATATCTCACAAAAATAAAAGCTACAGGTCTCATGTTATATCTCAAATCTCAATGAATATATTTTCAAAATTTACAACGCTTTAAAATTATGTCAAATGCCGAATTTCATCCATGATGTTACACATTAATACAGCATCAGGCACAGGTTTCCGCATGAAACAGAGGAAGAATCGATACTTTTTTTGCTAAACATTTGCAAAAGTTTCTTAGCTACACCAAAATTAAGCCAACATTTCAGCTGCGGAACAATCAATAAAGCATGAAGTAGAATAAAACCGAGCTCGAAAACCTCCTAAACCAGTAAGAAAACAGACTTCGTAACTCGAATTTAGAATCATAACTAGAAGAATTTCGAAATGGAACGTAGCGTACTCTCTAGATAAAACAGGGATGATTTCGAATAGAACGAGCTGTAAGAGGTTGCAAGAGAAGGCGAAGACGACGCTGAAAATGATCTGAACCAAGGCTCGCTTCTCTTCGTACTCCTTGTAAAGCCTCCGGTTGAGGAACCAGAGACCGGCCGATCCTAGGAGACCCAGGGAACCAATCACCAGCATCCCTTCGAAGATCGCCCATCCGTAACCCATCGTTGATCCAGATCAGAAACTCAGATCTCTTTCTCTTAATCAACAAAAGCTTCTCTCTCAACAGCAGTCGCGATTCGATTTCAACTCATTGTATTGAATTGAATCTGCAGACGAACGATTCCTCTCATTCCTTTCACAGTTTCACCAAGTGTTGTAACCCAAAAATTATTTGTTTCTTTTGCCCATTTAAGTAAACCGAACCCGTACCAAATTTCATTGTTTTGTTGGCTAATTCCCGGTACAATTACCCAAATCCACCGGTAGATCCCCATAGGAGTCTATAGAAAAATTTATGAAGTTCATTTGACATTAATAAAGTAGTTGTAAACTTGTAATGTCAGGATTCAGTTCCATCAACATCGTATCGTTCGAGTTCCATATGACAACGATCAGTGCAGAAATGTAAGAGAATTGTAATGATTTAGCAAGAAATCTCTTTCGGTGAAGATTTAGAATTCTCTTTTTAGTTTTGTTTCGTTGGCAACATCTAAAAGTTGAACTCTTGCTTGCCACATCTCTGATTATGCTGCGTAGAGGTTAAATCACGTTTCTGTATGAAATATTTGGAAAAGGATTTGGATTGAAACGAAAAGAAGCTTGTTTTTAGTAACATGAGGAAAACAATGGACTGAGACGGTTTATCTACCGCCAAAAAGGGCAAGCCAAACTCAATCTTATAAAATTCAAAAATATTTGTGAAGCCAAAATACAATAATATTGACAGTGTCAAAAACATATGAAATGTAAATTACAAAACGCAGATGCTATTTTACCCCACTCAAAACTTGGAAGACTATAAATAAATGGAAAATTGAACCAAACAATGAGGACAAAACTCTGGAGAAAGGAACATATAGCAAAACCAAAACAGTAAAAAACACCCAACCCACTACCCTCAAATGCTAAATTGGATATTGAAAAAAATGAAGACAGACTTAGCTTTTGAGATGTATATAGATCACAGGAGAAAGCTAACTAGCAGAAGCATACGCAGCAAGAAGATTAGCTTGAGAAGGCGGTAGAACGCTTATGAATGGCTCCAACTGATTCCCATAAACAGAGATCAGGTGGGAGAAAGTTCTTCCTACAATTGCTTTCACTTCAACTTTTTCCACTGGCGACTCCAGTACTTGCCCGAATATCTTAACCAGGTCCGGAACATGAGAGAGGATCTGATTTTTACATCCAAGAAAAACAAATTTACCAAACGCACACGAGAAAATATTTGACCAAAAGGTAAACAAAATTTGAAACTGCAAAAACGTACCTCTGGATTGGATGCCAAAACAAGTGAATATATACAGGTGTATACAGCCATGGACTCCTCTTGATCTTCCTTTAAGGGTAGACCTCTTAACAACACTGGAAGTACCTGGATAATATATATAACTTAGGGATTAGTACTGTTTTTTCAGGAAGTAAGCAAAAAATAGATAAAACTGGCCTAGTCCGAGATCATACTTGATTTAGAGGGACTAATTGAGGATGAACGACAATCATCCTTGCGGTAGCACCAGCTGCATTATCCCTAACCGCAAGGTCTGGTTCTGAGTCTCCGAAAAGCGGGTAAATTCCACGTAGCACATCACCAAAATATCTAACATCGAATCAAGGGAAGACAAATATGGCATCATTCTCCCAAACCCCCAAGAGAAAATTAGGAAAAAAAACAGAAGATTGAGAGGTGGGTGAGCATGTTAATCAGTGGATAAAAAGTCGTTTAGGCCTTGAATGAGAGTTAAAAGTATGTAACACGAAAAGGATACTTCAGAGCAGCTTCACCACCGTTTTTGCATAGCTCTCCAGCACAGAAAGCTGCATTTCTTCTGTTGGTTGCTACTGGTGACCCCAACTCTTTGAGCACCAAGGGCATTAACCTCTGCAAGAAATTTTCCCAACGGTTGGTTTTAGTACAGCTCAAACACTAAGAAACGAGTCATAGAGGACATAAGACGAGGAAGATCACATCAACATAGGCAGAGATTGGAGCACCCATGTCTTGAGCAACTTCAGCAAGACTAGCAACTACCATTGTCCTATCCTGTGGGGGACGTGAGGCTTTCTACAGGCGCAAGTAGTGAAACAGTAAGGGCCTAAATTTCAGTGAAAGAAGTTATGGCAATGAATGCTGTAATTACTAATACTCACCGCAAATTTCATCAACGGCTCAAAGAATTTTGCAAAGACAGGTTCAAAATGAGACCCCATACACTTTGCAAAAGCGGGAAGGAGGTCAGAAACTGCATCCATGAGGACCTCATCATGTCCACCATCGTCGTCATCATCACTTTCATCTTCTAATTGTTGGCAAGCTGCTTTCTCCGTCAGCAGTAGCAATGTCGCATCAACAAGGGGTGATAAATCTAGAAACCAACGTCATCACTCATCAGCACAGTATACAAATATACAAAAAAATGAATATCCTGAAATAGTTTTTGATAAAATTTGACTCTAGCAAGAATAGACACCCACAATTTTGAATGGCTACGTAACCATAATCCTTCATGATGTCCGCTATACTCATGCAAGCCTGAGCAACAACCTCCTTGTCGTCATCTTCAGCCATGGTTTTAATATATGTATTCATAACTGTATCTGCAGTGGACAAAAACTGTTTCAATATCTTCTTATTATTAATGAAAAGAAAGAAATTCTGTGTAATATGGATTACCAAGAATTTCATTTGCCTTCCCAGTTCCATCCTACATAAGAACCAAACATGATATTAAAGGCTGGCAATTCAAAAGGTTGGGAGGGGAGGACAGAGAAGGTGAGAAAGATAGAGATATTCATGATCACAATTCCCTTACATTATGATTCTGGAAGATAGCATGTGCTGCGGCCAATATATCTGCAATTCCAACAGATAAAAGAGGTATAAGCTTAAAGACTCAAAACAGAATGACAAGCTCTAATACTACCATTATTATCAAGTCTAACCCATAGATTACAGGAGCTTATAAATACTATCAGATCCGGTGAGTTGCACATTTCTAACAAAATTGAGTGAACATGAAAGTGCAAAAGCAAAGGGCCTAGACAATTGATCACATGTTGGCGGCAAGAAGGAAAAATGGCACATCATTCATATGCCCAACTGTCAAGCAATTGTTAGGCCTGTTGCTGATTGCACAATATTATAGAACGAAGCTACGTGCCAAGTAAACAACGTTCACTAAACTACTGCTATGTACCCTCCCTGGGAAGAGGTCCACAGGTTATGGATGAAGTAGTATGTGTTGGCATAGTCCCGGGGCAGTAAAAACAGTGACAACAAATGGAGCAAGAAGCCAAGAAATCAAATAATCAATAGATAGAAAACTCACGTTTCAAACCAGTGATTGCTTGAAGCCGAACATCTTCATGGAAATATCCCGAATGTTTATCCATAATCTTCAATGATTCCTCGAGGTAGCTAATAAGTTAGTTAAGGAGGCATGACGAAAGGATTCTTGTAATAAGTCCAAAAAATGATAAAGTGTTAAGGGAAAGTTGAAGGATACGGTGCAAAAGAAGATTTAGTGTGGAGAGCAAACAGGCCAAGAGCTTGAGTTGCAGCTGCCTTTTCATCCAAAACTCCTGTTCTTACGCTTATGTTCCGAATTCTGGGCTCATCATGAGCTTCATCATCAGAGGATACCCCACCAAAATCGTTAACATTTTCATCGTCTGACTCATCAATGTTGACCGCAGACCCATCATCAAGATTGCAAGAAGCAAATACTAACGGCATAACGCGAGGTAAATACTGCAAAAAAAATGCTTTTATTAACTTTAACAAAAGTCAATGGAGTCAAAGCTGTTATAAAGTCTATTTGAAAGAAATCTATCCACACCTGGGCAAAAGAGTCATCCAATATTTCAGCTATGTTGCTGAAGAATCCATGAGTATACTCTCGCAGCTCACTGAACTCCAATCCAAATCCCTGAAATTTTGTGATCGTGAGCATTTTCTTCCATAAATGACATGTTTAGTTCAAAGATACAGAGCAGAAAGGCAATTACTGATATTGCGGCATCAATGAAAGGTGGCAAGATGGCCTCCATTCCTTTTCTCCCAACAGACATTGCGACGATCCCTACAAGCTCAGTAGACCTTGCACGGGCACGAAGATCTTCGTCATTGGTGAGCACCATGAAAAACTTCATCGACTCTAAAACCCTCTCAGCATATGGATTGAATGCTTGCTCTGCAGCAGCAGCAACTGACCCAATTGCAGACTGCAAGCAAGTAGCAACGAAGCTCAGATCAAATATTTCAGATACAAATTCTACAGAAACTCTAGCAAAGATTGTCGGTGTACCATGCACGTCTCTTGCAGATTACGCGGACTGTTTCCGAGGGCTGCCATGAGCTGCCTCATTAAAGGATCAAGGTAAACAACAATCTCCTCTCCCATATTCTCACAGAATGATGCTAAAGCATAGTATGACTTCTCCTGTAATCAATAACAAGAAATGTTACTAATAAACTAGTCTTTCATATTATCATGACAGAAATGTGCATCTTCACATAATACTTCACTAGTCCTTCCTTTGAATTTTACCTTCACTTCCTCAGATGTATCTTCAATCGCATTCAATACACACGGAAGAACACTCTGATAGTGAGTCAGGATTTCAGGCTGAAGATGCTCAGCGAATTGGCCAAGTGCAAATGACGCAGCCCCTCGAACCATTTGCTCAGGGTCTCTTAAAGCTCCCAAGACTATATTAAGAACAGGATCCAGCTTATCTTTCATAATGTCAAAGCAACCTTCTGATATAACACCTAGAGCTGTAACAGCAGCTTCCCGATACTTCGGGTTCGGACTCTGACTATGCACGGAAGCAAATTCGGAAACAGGGTTGAATACATGCTTCGGAATAGTCATAGCTAGTGTGTCAATAACTTCAGCAGCTGCACGATCAGGAGCAAGATCATCATCGTCCTCTTGATCAGACGACTCGGCGAGTAAGGCGCACATAACTTTCAAAATCGGTACGACTAGCTGATGCTT